GGCCATCCGTACGGCTAAACGTGAATGTTGGGCATCTTATGTCTCGACAATTACGTCCGAAACCCCTCTGGCCCAGATCTGGAAGCGTATCCGCAAGATAGCGGGTAAGTTCGTTCCCGATGTTTCACCGGTCCTTCACCTCCATGATACTCTTGTGGCGGACCCGTTGCAGGTCGCTTCCGAACTGGGTTCCCACTTTTCTTCTGTTAGCTCTGGTCTTCATCTTCCCCAATCTTTCCTTCTTCGTAAACCTGTCCTTGAGTCTCGTCCTTTAGATTTCTGCACTCATCTTCAGCTTCCCTATAATGATCCCTTCTCTCTCTCTGAACTTCGTTCTGCCCTGGCCCTCTGCGGTTCTACGGCGGCGGGCTCCGATGGTATTCATTATGAGATGCTTCGCCATCTCCCTCCGAGCACGTCTCAGTATTTACTGAGTCTGTATAATCGGATCTGGGAGTCGTCGTCAGTCCCTGAGGACTGGCTCGATGCCGTTGTCCTCCCTGTTCGCAAACCGGGGTCTCTGGGTACTTCCCCTAAGGACTTTCGCCCTATTGCTCTCACAAGTTGTGTCTGCAAACTCTTTGAACGTATGGTTAACGTTCGTCTGATGTGGTTCCTGGAACACCATCACCTCCTCTCCCCTTCTCAATTTGGTTTCCGCAAGTGCCGCAGCACGACAGATGTCCTGGTGAACTTGGAGGTCTATATACGTACTGCTTTTGCTGCGAAGACCTCCGTTGTTGCCGTCCTTTTTGACCTAGAAAAGGCTTACGACACCACTTGGCGTTATCATATCCTATCTCAACTTCATTCTTTTGGCCTTCGTGGTCATCTCCCTCTCTTTCTCCGCAGCTTCCTCTCTCGTCGTTCCTTTCGGGTGCGCCTTGGTACCGCTCTCTCTCCCTCTTTTCAGCAATACGAAGGTGTGCCCCAGGGTAGTGTTCTGAGCACTACTCTTTTTCTGGTTGCCCTCAATGGTCTTCTTTCCTCTCTTCCTTCTGGTGTCTTCTCCGCTCTCTATGTCGATGATCTTACCCTTTGTTGTCAGGGTGATGATTCGCCTCTCCTTCAACGCCGGCTTCAACTTGCGATTGATGCCGTGTCGTCTTGGGCCACAGGTCATGGCTTCAAGTTCTCTACTTCTAAGACTTGTGCCATGACTTTTACGCGGAAACGGGTTGTTCTTCGTCCCTCTTTGTCACTTTATGGTCATCCCCTTGAATACAAAGATTCCGCGAAGCTTTTGGGGTTATTCCTTGACACTCGTTTGTCTTGGTCTCCCCATATCTCTTACCTCCGTGTTGAGTGCTCTAAGTCCCTTACCCTCCTTCGGGTCTTGTCCCATACTTCTTGGGGGGCAGATAGGCGCACTCTCCTTGCTTTACATTCCTCTCTCGTCCTGTCTAAGCTCGATTATGGTTGCCCTGCTTACTCGTCTGCTTCTCCTTCTACTCTTCGCCGTCTTGATGCTTTGCACCATACTGGGTTGCGCCTCAGTTCTGGTGCCTTTCGTTCGACTCCCGTCCTTAGCTTGTATGTTGACACTGGCTTCCTGTCTCTCCAGGACCGCCGTGATCGCTACTGTCTTCGCTATCTTGCGCGGTCCTTGCAACATCCTTCCTCTCGTCTCTGTCGTGCTTTAACTTTTACCCCTCCTGCGGTTCCTGTTCCTCTTCACCACCTCCCTCTTTCTGTCCGGTTATCTCGCCTGCAGGATTCTCTTTCCGTTCGTATTTCTGATGTTTCTCCTCGTGTTGTTCCTTCTTTGCCCCCGTGGAGGGTCCCTCTTCCGCGGTTTTGTACATCCTTGACTCGTATCACTAAAGCTTTTACCCCTCCTACAGTTCTAAAACGCCTTTTCCTCGAGCACTTTTCTTCTCACTCCCGCTCCGTTTCTGTCTTCACCGATGGGTCTAAGTCAGCGGACGGTGTTGGCTACTCTGTTGTTTTTCCTGATCGCACTTATATGTGTCGCTTGCCTCCGGAGACTAGCATCTTTACAGCGGAACTTTATGCTATTCTCTATGCTCTTCGTCTCCTGCTTTCTCGTTGTCAGTCTTCCTTTGTGGTTGTTGTTGACTCTCGTAGTGCCCTCATGGCTCTCGGGTGCTTTAATCCAGTTCATCCGGTAGTTGTCGAGATCCAGCATTGGCTGTTTCTCGTTCACAGTAAATTTAAGTCGGTTGAGTTTTGTTGGGTTCCCAGCCATATTGGCGTGTCTTTAAATGAGCGTGCGGATGCTGCCGCTAAGGAAGCTGTCCGCTCTCGTCCCATCTCTCGTAAAGGCATTCCGTATTCCGACTTTTACCCGGTTATCCATTCCTCAGTCCTTACCCGTTGGCAGGCTTCTTGGTTGTCTGTTACTGGTAACAAGCTACGTACTCTTAAATGTTGTGTTTCCTCGTGGCCGTCCTCCTTCCACCGTAACCGGCGGTGGGAAACAGCTCTGGCGAGGTTGCGTATTGGCCATACTCGCTTAACCCATGGTCACTTGATGGAGCGCCGCCCTGCTCCTTATTGTCCTAGTTGCATTGTCCCTCTTACGGTCGTGCATGTCCTTCTTGAATGTCCTGACTTCCAGGACGAGCGTGTGTCTTGCTTTCCGACCGCCCCTCGCGGTCACCTGTCCCTCGATAGAATTCTTGGTGACTCGGATACTTTTGATATCGTTCGCCTTATGCGTTTTTGTTCTCGTATTGGCATCCTTGGTGATATTTAGCGCCCTCTGATTATTTTGCGTATTTGATGGTGCTACATAGCCTTCCCGGTTTGGTGCCTTCTTTTGATAATTACTTACTTACTTACTTATATCTACCAGAAAAATTTAGCTCCGGAGCCATAATCCAGCCCGCTGGTGATAATGCCATAAGAGAAGTTTAACTGACGTGACTGGCAGGCTTAGTTAATAGGTCACTAGTGGTTCTTCCTCAACTCTGAAATGCTGCTTGCGATAGGGAATATACCTCTGAATTAGCTAAAGAGCAATATATTGACACAATAGTGATAGAGCTCACTCATGCATCAAATGTGTGAAAATTGGATTTATGTGTATTTCAAAATCGAGCAGTAAAATATTTAATTGCCAAAAGGAATAGCAACACAAAATACGTAATAAGTCAACTCTGATAACAGCATCGGGTGAGGTCCACAGGACTAACAATACTACATACTGTGTGATCGAAACATTTATAATGCTGAACAATTTGGAAGACTTTAATCTAGACAACTTCCTGAAAAGGTTCAATGTAATTGACACAGGGGGCAATAGCTTCATGCTCAACAAGCCACAACGTAGGACACACAACAGTAAATGAATTCTTTAATCAAGGTTAAAGGAATCGCAAATCGCTATACCTTCTGATTCTGCAACTCCAACAGCACCTCGTGCAAAACAAGCATCAGAGGCCCTTGATCCTGCAGCACCGTCTACAGGGCTTCCTACTAGTGGAATTGTTCCTGCTGCAACTTGCGATCCTGCAATACAACGTCAAACACCGGCTCTTGCAACAGCAACTATAGAATCCACTGATTCTTCAACATCAGCTTGAGCACCTCCAGGCACTGAATCAGCTGCCGCTGCAGCACCTGAGCAGTCTGCCTGAGACGAACCCTCTACATCATCTGGAGAAGAAACATCAGAGAATGTCACTGATGCCTCCACAAATTCACCATCTCGATATTTCAAGATCAAGAAACCACATCTCTAGACGAAGACACTCAAGAACTAGACATTGAAGCCCAAGAATATTACAAAAGCATGGAATCTCCAGTAAGCAGACGAGACTAAGAATATCGAAGAAGCAAAGAAGAGGATCCTTCTCTGAAGATGATCATTCCAACTGAAACAATCTGTAAATCATGTGATCTTGACAGTCTTACGACCTTCATGATAGTCTCATCTCCCAGACTTTAGACCTTCATGAGAGTCCATTCTCCTAGAGACTTACGACCTTCACGTTGAGACTCACACTCATAGAAGCTGTTGGCGTCTTTCTTGCTTTATTTCTCTCTAGCATATAAATACACGATATATTCCTGTGTGTAATATGTATATAACAATATATTATAACCTGTCCTCAGGACATATCAGTAGTATAATATTGGACTTATAATGTAGGTCAACTTTGGCACTTAACTATGAATGTTCAAGTCTTTGTTCAGAGTTTACGCATATATTTGTTTACCTTCTTTTCGGGGCAAATTCTCCCTGTGAAGTATGGGTAAGTTAGGTCAGGTTACGTTAGGTCAGGTAAGGCTAGGTTAAGTTAGGTTAGTTTTACATTTATTAAAATGTTAGGAGAAGGTTTTTAAGTAACTATGAAAAAAATTATAGTGATGGACTTAATTTATTCATATAACTAATAAATAATGTCGGTCTGGTATAATAATTATCTCTACGAAGCCAGTTGTAACATCGCCGGACGCAGCCCTGGCTTACCCGGCAGCCGATGTCTGGCGCTGTCGACGGGGAACTCTGGTATTTTATTAAGTGTAATGTGTGGTCCAAATATAAATAATAATGTCGAGTAGAGTCGTCACGACAAGCTCCTCCATTGTACATTTCTTATAAATAAACATATGACATTTCTTTTCTGTCCACCTTTTAACCACGAGAGTTTATAAGGTCCACTACATAAGGACTTATATTTATTCTAAAGTACTCTCCATAGGGACTGCTTTGGTGTTGGGGTTAAGGCCTATCCACCTCTGGACGATTGAAAAGGCCACAGCCAATGGTTACAGACCTACCAGTAGGTATATTATGTTTCTGAACAATATAGGTAGCGAGGCAGTGTTCTCAGCACCGGGAGCGAGGCAGTGTTCTCAGCACCGGGAGCGAGGCAGTGTTCTCAGCACTGGGAGCAAGGCAGTGATCTCAACACCGGGAGCGAGGCAGTGTTCTCAACAGTGGGAATGAATCAGTGTTCATAATATAAGTGATGCATAATTTTGTGTTTAACATGGAAGGAAGGAGGGGGAGGGACGGAGGGGTGGGAAGGTCGCTGGAGCAGAGCGGAGTCGGCACCAGCGTCCTGAGGGTCGTGCTCAAGAGATATTCAACCCGAGACACGACCGTGTCCTCCACGGGTTCTGTAGGGTCCATCGGTTGCATCAACCAGCTTCCACTAATAGTCCGCATGCACTCTGGTGTAGCTATGGAGTTCTTCACCTTTTCGCTCTTTTAAAATGCACAAGGAAATTATAATAGTGTAATATACCAATGAGAAAGTTGCTGGAGCAGAGTGGTGATTGAAACAGCGGTACTCGTTCACTGCTGGGTGAACAGAGGCGTGCAGTTAAGGATTGGCGCCTAGTCAATCCTCCCCGGCTAGGATACGAACCTTGGCCAGATCGTTCGCGAAGCGCATGGAGAGTGTCTTATCACTGCCCCACGGGGACTGCCAATAATTATATAAATAAGTAACTGCACCAAGAACCACTACAGTACACAGGAATTTTGTCTAGGATTTCCGAAGACTTCAGTTTAAGAGTTAAAGAGCGAGAAGAATATTGTGAGGAAGAGGGTGAAGAACATAATGATGACGATGAAGAGGATGATGATGATTATGATTAAGATAAAGAAGCATCAGAATTCAGCGTGGGTTGGCACTATCTTGCACGTGACGAAACGATAAGCTCCACAGCCAAGGATCCGCTCCCACATCCTGAGGGAAGTGACACATGACCAGCAGGGACGTCCTGCAGTCCTGGTGCAGCCTGCGAGGGCAGAGGACGTCGTCGGAGCCGGGTCCCGTGCACTTGATCATCCAGGGAGGACCCCAGCCAGACCAGGATGGTGGACCAGTGGACGGTGGTGTGGTGGTGGTGTCTGATGGTGATCACTGCAGACGCGGGCCTCGCCAGCGGTGTGGAGGGTGAGTATGAGAGAGAGAGAGAGAGAGAGAGAGAGAGGGAGAGGGAGAGGGAGACAGAGACAGAGACAGATCACTATGGTCTCTCTGAAAAGTGTCAGAGAGAATGCCAACAAAGGTTGGCCCTCAGCCTCCACAATCCCCAACACTGCTGGTTAGACAAGAAATGTTACTGTACAGGACGTGGTGCAGAGTCGTAAGGAGATAAGACATGAAAATTTGATATGAAAGGAGAAATAACGAACCAACTGCTACTAATAAAAGTGCATTCAATTGCTATTGCTGCTACAGTTGGCGGACACACCAAATAAACTTTACAACCAGCAGACACTACAATAGGGACACTACAACAGTCTCTACAGGCAGCAGACTGTAAATAGTGACACTTCAGCAACCTCTACAACTAGAAGACACTACAATAAGGAAACAAAAACTTTTTCAAATAGTAGACACTACAATAGGGATACTAGAACGTCTACCATTTCTGCTTGTTTCTGCTCTATTTTGAGAATATTAAGTTACAATAATATTTTTAGGTCATCTCCTTGATGCTGCTGGATAGATTGTCCCCTTTGATGCTGCTGGATAGGTTGTCCCCTCTGATGCTGCTGGATAGATATCCCTCTCGATGCTGTCGGATAGGTGGTCCTCCTGATGATGTTGGACACTTTAACCTCAGGTGTTTCATAGAACACAATGCGCAGACAAACGGGATTAACTACAAAGCTTATAACAGATCAAAATAAATAATATATTTACATAGGATTACAAAAGAGGGAGGTACGGCTACATGAATGAGCTTGAGAGGGAGCAGGATATCACAGTACCATGGCATTATACCGTACCTGGATGGTACACTGTGAGCACAGCGTTGAGGGTACAGATAGTACTGAGTGGTGTGGATGCGAGATCTTCTTAAAGGTCAGAATTCCTATCGCCTGGCATCTTTGATAATGGTTTCCTGTTCAGCTGAAGGGGGGGGGGGGTGGTTAGCAGCCTCGCTCATACAGGGCTGACGATCATCTTTATTTATCTAGCAAATATTAAATGTATTTACATAGGTTACCCAAGGAACAGGCCTGACTACGAGATAAACAAGTCTGAGGTGATAGCAGGACATTATAGTACCGTGATATAGTACACCACACAGGGAGGTATTTTCAAATGATGGAGTTTGACGCCACATATAGCACTGGTCGAGGAAAGTACTGAGAGAGCATGGAGAGTGACGGTACTGGCCGAGGAAAGTACTCAGAGAGCATGGCTAGTGACGGTTCTGGCCGAAAGGAAGGAAAATATTCTAGCTTTCCATGTGTCGTCCCTGGCGTCTCTGACGACATTTCCTGTTAAAATTAATGCTGAATTTTTGAGGCCATAATTTTATTTATAAATCGCCAGTACCCTCTTTGTTATGACTCTAATGGTCTTCGATACATTTTATGATATTAATAAGTTCAATAGCTTACAAAATATTTTATTAAGGATATATTAAGTATTCGAAAAGGCAGCTCAAATTTTATATTGTGTCTACAATTTTAAAAAAGTTCTTACAACAAAATACAATGTAAAACAAAGAATGTCCATGTACTGTATTTTATATTAAATCATCATTAGGCTAATTTTCATTTCAAATGCATTTGCTAATTATTACTTTAACGGAGTCAGTAGCAAAAAGCTGCTTTCATATTGGGATCGATCCGATGCAATGAATGACAAACCAGTTTACTGTTAAAATTAACACAACACTTTGTTATGACTTCTACAGTCAGAACTGACGGCCCTCACAAGACTGTCTTCAGTCTAGATACCCAGATAACAGTCAACGTGCATTGTTGCCTCACAAGCTTTCTGTTCTTGTCTTGTTTGTGCAGAGATCTGTTCAGTTGAACTCAAAACTACGACAATGTCACTGTCATGATGAGTACATTGTTTTTGAACATCACTAATACAGTCTTACATTGTTTTTGAACATCCACACTTCACAGTGTTACTTTGATTTTGAACATCTCCATTGTACAGTGTTACATTGTTTTCGAACATCCACACTGTACAGTGTACAAGCTGTAGTACAGCATCTGGTGCTGGTCTGTGACGTCACCACTAGCTGATCACCAACACCAACATTTCCTTTAACCTTTATGTGTACCATTTTCACCTCCAGCGTCCTCCACCTTCCGCAGAGTGCTTCCTGTACCCCGTGAAGAAGGGGGAGCCGAGCCCCAGCGTCCCCCTCCAGGCCAGCGGCGACACCATCATCACCATCAACAACATCTACGACAACAACACCATCACCACCATCACTACTGACGATGGTGACTGTGTGGCGCGGGTCCTTCATAACAGCACTTATAAACCGAGGGAAGATGGCTGCCCTGTCCTCAACGCCAGCGCAGGTAATTATAATACTTTTTAGTTTAAATCTTCTGAGGAATGAGCCACATCACTGGTCAAGTTGCTCCCTCAGTAGTACGAGCCACGAGACAATTGACAGTAATTGTTACTGTGATCGTCATTATCATCGTGATCATCACATCCTTGTGATGAACGTTAGTCATCATCGTACACCAACATGTGAGCATCTTTCTTATGACAGTTTTTTATTTTATTTATGTATACAAGAGTTCTTACATTCTTGTACAGCCACTAGCACGCATGGTGTTTCGGTCAGGTTCTTGATCATAATTTCTCCCGGAATACGACTCAGCCAATTGTTTAACTGGTACCCATTCACTGCTGGGTGAACAGAGGCTACAGTTGAGATTGGCGTGCAGTCAATCCTTCCCGGTCAGGGGCCAGATTCACGAAAGCACTTACTCAAACACTTACGAACCTGTACATCTTTTCTCAATATTTGGCGGCTTTGTTTCCAATTATTAAACAGTTAATGAGCCCCGAAGCAGTAGGAGGCTGTTTATAACAATAACAACAGTTGAATGGGAAGTTTTCATGCTTATAAACTGTTTAATAAATGTAACCAAAGCCGTCAAAAATTGAAGAAAGATGTACACGTTCGTAAGTGCTTGCGTAACTGCGTTCGTGAATCTGGCCCCAGGGGCGTTACGAACCGAGGCCAAAGCGCTCGCGATGCGCCTGGTGAGTGTTATACCACTATGCCACAGGGACTGTGCCACGATTTTATATGTATTAATCTCATTTTGCTGTTTTTTCACGTTATTAATTTTCATTATTATCCCAATTAAATGTAATCCTCCTTCAAGATGTGTATCAGAGGGAGAGGGAGTGTAAGGCTGTTGTGGCCATCACTTTTGTTTACATTAGCGCGTAGCCTCGCGCTCTAGCGTCGCCCTCCGCCTCTAAAAGGTCTGATTTTGGAGAGAGGAGGAGGGACGCGAGAGCTGCTGTAAGGTGTTGTGCTCAGTAGCTGTGAATTTACTCTCTTTGAACATATTGTTTATTATTCGGCGCGTGATAAATGTCCCATGTTGTGTATCATGATGTACCGCCCGTGTTGGAATATCAATAATGTATGCACATGAGCTGTTTTGTTTCAGTCCTTCAGCACAAAATAGTTAAGAATAGCTTATATGCTCGTTGTTCCTGCCAGATTATTACTATTATAATTGTATGTGTTTATGTGGGACATTAGTCTTCCTATGTATTGAATTATTAATTATTTTATTAGACTCTGAACAATGAGTGTCATTTTAATAGTTTCCTTTCATCATAACATTTTGAATTCCATCAGTGTTCATACTTTCCAGTTAAATGAGAGTGTTCTGCGTGCTATATATTCCATCATATAAATAATACTTACCGTACTTCCCTTACAACAGGATGTACATATATGGTAATTATTTTCAATTCAAATTTACCTTTAAGTCAGCTACATGGCTGGCAAAGCGAACACATCACATGGCTGGCAAAGCGGCTCACACAATAGTGTAGATCAGAATGAAAATAAAACCAAAAAGCTGTTGTCATCATCATAATCACCGTAATCATTGCTCTTCATACTTTAACATGTATACACCTCCCTTATTCTTCTCATTCTATTTTTTGCTCTTCACATCTTCACATCAATTCCACTCCTTCCTTCCAACTTTGTCTCCCACAGTTCTGGCCCGTTAAACTTTCCATATAAAAAATCTTGCAACACTGTAGTGGTTTGGAGTGAAGTACGGCACTTAATCGAGGGTTGGAGGCCTCAAGCCAATCAGGATGGCAAGTAACAATGATGTCAACGTATGAGGGATGTCACCCCATGAGATAATACAAGCCGATGTCTCTAGTATACCCGTCCTCAGGCTATGTATACTTCTCCAACCGGCTGTTGATGCCGTAGACGCATTTACATCCATGTTAACGTTCTGTGCATTCAAAATAGCAATTTACTCAAATATATATTATTATTATTACTTAAATTAGGATTTTGAGCACAGGCGTACGTTAGTTTAGGGTCTATTGGCAAGTATTTATATTTGCAGTATGTGAGTCATTTATAGAAACGCTATGCGTGCTATTGGCTTTACAAGAATGTAAAAAAATGAAAACAATTTATAAGGTGGGGGGTTTGGAGGATAGATTAATGATGAATTAGCCTTTGTTTATGAGGACGGTCTGCTCTGGTGATGGTTCAGAGTCACCAGTTTGCCTGCAGTTGCCACCATATAGGCCCGTCGTCAGTATCAGGCCAAGACTCATTCAATCTGGCCTCTCGAATAATATACCACAATTTGACGTCAAATTCCCCAACGGACAAATAAAAGTGTACTATAATCCATAAGCATTCACGTTTTCTATACATGGTTGATGGTTAGGATAGGTTCGATAATTTTAGTACACCATTTATTTGTCCGTTGTGGCAACTCGAGAGGACGGGTTGCTACTAGTGGCCAGTGGGAGAGGAGCCCTGTGGAGTGTCTTCTGTCTCTGTGGTGGAGGAGCAACGTCGACCACGGCGTGTGGTGCTCGCTGGCGGAGGACAGTGACGCAGAGGAAGCTGGCCCACCAGGCCCAGGGATGTCGCTGGTGTCGGAGGCTATATCGACGTTCATGGAGAGAGCAGCGGCTATGTGTGGAAGTGCCCTTGAGTGATGCTTGTGTAACTGTCGACGTGTTGGTAACTGCAGTTTGGAAGATCACAAAGAGACTTGATCGATGGTTAAGGTGAACTGTTTGGGGCTTTTAGCGCAGTCAGTAAAATGTTTGAGACTGAGAAAACCCTTAAAGATATGGGGTACTCTGTAGACAGTGGGAACTGCTGGATATCTTGCTATCCTTGTGGAATGTAGGGACAGTGTGGCAACCCAGCCAGGATAACAGGTATTCATGGTAAACTGTGAGGCAGTACAGGGACTTCTGGGGAAACTGGTGATAAAGTGACACGATGTTAACTTACATAATGTTAGTTACTTTAATTATCTACTGTATATGGTGGTTCAACAGCCTGAGTGCAGAGTGAAAATTAACATGTTTTATCAAAATTTTATTTTATTCACAAATATGCTTTGCCTCGTTTCAGTTTGAAAACACATACGAATGTGACTCTCTCACTCATGACGAACTGCATTAACACATTTGGTGTTATACACAAAACTGAATTTCGAATGTGTTTTTGTAGGTGGTTCATGTTTCGTATCTTTACCTCGTGCACCATAAAGTTTTCAAGTGTCCCCACCGGAACACATCACGAGGACTATGGTCTGGACCTCCGAGGTCCTCTACTACTGGGTGGACCTTGGGATCCTCGTGGGTGCTACTACACGCACGAGGATCCCGAGGCTTCCACTGAAGCCTAACCGGGGTTTCACACAATTCCACCCCCCCCCCTCTCCTTGCACCCGGGCTCTGTCAACCATAGTACTACCTCTCACGCTCCTACTTAAATACACAATTTTCAGCGTATGAACAGTAATCTTATTAACGGTAACTCTAAGGATAAATCAAGCCTGTCTTCATTACCTTTTATAATAATGATAATAATAATAATAATAATAATTTCATTATGTCGGGGGATAGGAAGCTATGTTGAGAAATATGAATTAGGAAGCACAGCAGCAAGCCTGATGGTCCACGCTAGGCGGGTTTTGACATGTTCAAACTGTTTCAGAATCCTGTTTATATTTTCCTTGTTTATAACCCTAACCCACTTGAACACTTGGATCGTGTCCACCTTGTCCTCCCTCTCTCTAACCAGAGTAGATTAGGACTTGCATGATTTATACCCATCCAAGTGGAGCCTCACCAGTGCTAAGTGTAACTGAAGGATGATACTCGTGTTTCTGTTGCTGATGGTTCATATAATAAATCCCAGCACCCTGTTTGTTTTATTTTGTGCAGTGATGTATTGGTGTCTGGGCCTCGGGTCGCTGCTGAACATCACTCCCAAGTCTCTCACACAATTTGATATATTCATCACAGTAGTATTGATGTGATACATAGTAAAACTATCTTTATCTAGGTTAACAAACTTGCAGATATTAATGTTAAACTGCATTTGGCATTTCGCAGTTTCTTCAGGGTTTTTCTTTTGAATTCGTTGCACGCCCAATATTTATATCGTCAGCAAACATGCTGTTATCACTGGTCTCTCCAGTATTACGGTCGATGATGTAAATTATTATATTAGGGTTGTTGATTTATGAAGCGAATTACCAGTAACATGAGAGACGTGAGGTCGCTGGACTGTTTCAAGCGAAGGTTTGAAGTAAATATTAATGAGTTTGGATGTAATAAAGAGGAGCAGCCTCGCATGGGTCAGTTGGCCTTCAACAGTTTCATATATTATTATTATATTCTCCCCAGTCAACAACAACTCCGGGACGTGGCAAGAGTTGGTGACGGTGGTGGTGCGTCGGGGAGGAGGGAGGACCAGCGTGTACCTGCGGGACTCCGGGGACGAGGAGCAGCTGGTCAAGGTCCACCTCGGAGACGCCTGCACCGTTCATGTTGTGTCCCAGGAGTTCGTCAATGTTGCTTACGGCTGTTATGATGGTCAGTTGAGACAGACAGACACAGAGAGGAGGAAGCTGTCGAGTAATTTTTTTTATTGTCGCGATCTTATTATTTTTTAAATATTTTATTTTAGAATATATAATGTCTTAATCACGAAATTTATATATTTTTTATTCAGGTTAAAATTATTTTCCTTGATGTTAATAGTGTTATTATTGCTAAAGTTAGCTTGTGTTATGTCTATAATATAAATTAGTTATAAATATTTTAATTCCACAAAGTTACCAGCCAGTGTTGAGTGTGAAGTTGTTAAGAGTCAGTTGTGGTAGTGGTGGGTCTCACACTGTTGGGGTGTTCCAGGATGTTTCCAGTTCCAGAAGGCCACCATTCACAAGAGCTTCAGAGACGGACGTCCTGGATCTTTACTCTTCTACGGACAACTTACGGGCTCGGAACCACTCAATAGGATCATATTTGCTTTAAGAAACGCTGGTTGGTCCCGAAGGAGAGGCTTCTACCCACAGGACAGTATTATGAACAACACTCACTGGTTCGCGTTCCGAGCGCTGCCACAGTACACCAAAAACAACAGGAATAAAGACATACTTAACCTCACACTCCGGTACGAGACTGCCGCCTCCAGCTGCAGCCCGGAGGACCCAGCCTGCAATACGGGACATAATGCAGCTTATACTGGAGAAGTTCCTTCCAAGGACTTGTACCTAAATTTCTCTGTGACGGAGAACGTGCGGTGGGCCGTGTTCTGCCGGCCTCGGAACACTAGCCAGGAGCCAGGTGAGGAGGACCAGCCAGCTCTTACCACAACCACCTCACCAACCACTATTACCACAACCACCTCACCAACCACTATTACCACAACCACCTCACCAACCACTATTACCACAACCACCTCTCCAACCTCTATTACCACAACCACGTCACCAACCACTATTACCACAACCACCTCACCAACCACTATTAATTACTGTTATCCCTCAAATAATAGTTACCAAACTGATAATTTTCAAGGTTGGTATTTATATGTTCGGTTAGTATGTGTATATATGAACTAGCGACAGGGGGATGGGGAGGGGGGACCTGCTGTGCCTTCCTCTCCTCTCCTACCTGTAGAGTTGCCTTCATCCGCTCCTCCCTCCACCGCTGCCCTCCCGGGTACCTTTTTACAACTAGGTGAGGTTAAATGTGCCAAAAGCAGCACTACAAAGCCTTAGTTAAAACCTAACCCATCTTTCTCTAGCTTCATGCTGTGCTTAATTAGATACTGCCTCTATGCTGAAGATGCATACTCCAGGAATGGTCTGACATATATGGAATACAAGGTTCTTATTGATCCCTTACACATTTCTATTGACAGTGCATATAGTGGCATATGCCATATAGTGTTGATGATATTCTTTTGAAGGGGGCTTCAGGAGACAGATGGGTGTGATATTAAGCCCCAGATCCTTCTTTGCGTTCGATTCTTGAAGAACTTCATCTCCCATTTGGTTCTTTGTGTTCGGGTCCTCCTCTTTACACCTATTTTCTGAACTTTGCACTTATATGAATTAAACTCTAGTCGCCATTTGTTGGACTATTATTTAAGTTTATCCAAGTAATCTTGTAATCTCTTGAATCTTCGTCTGTCATAACCCTTCTTATAATTTTAACATCATCTGTAATCTTTGAGAGGAATGAGTTTATTCCCGCTGAAAGATCATATATACATATATCATAAACAGGACAGTTGCGAGTACTGAACCCTGTGGGACTCCGCTGGTGACATCTGGAGAACCTGAGATCTCTCCTCACAGTACCTCGCTGTCTTGTGTTGTGTCGGTACTTACTTATCCGCCGGAACACCTTCCTTGTCACTCTTGTCTGTTTTGTCCAATGTATGCAAGTCTCTTAAGGGGAACTGTATCGAAGGTTTCCTGACAAACAAAAGATATACACTCTGCCCACCGGTTTGTATTGTGAAGCAAGATTTAGAATCCCTAAATATGTGTTGGTGGTTACAAAGTCCTTTAATTATCTCCAGATGTGCTATTAGCTTTTTCTCGCAATCTTCTGAATCACTTTCATGTAAATTTCTGATTTTACCTGATTTGCCTTAGTGGCCTCGACGAGGACAGGAAGCCAGCGGCTTGTTGAGGATCCCCCGCCCACCATTTGCCTTGATGATCTTTTCCAGGTATATTTTTTAAACTTGGCACAGTTTTGGCAGTTACGGCTTCGGCGGGTAGGCGGTTCCATGGGTTAATAACCATATGGGTGAAAAAGCATTACCTGTTCTCAGTCCAACACTGTGACTTGTTGAGCTTAAAACCGTTGCTCCTTGTTTGTGTGTCATCTGAACTTCTGAAGAAAATATCCGAATCAACATTTTCTAACTTGTTCGGTATCTTGTTCAGTAAATAAATTTTTTTGAATTTTTCATACTACATGAAAATTCATTTTCATGTAGTATGAAATACATTGGCCGTCTTCAAACTTTATGGTAGGTCCTCTGTTTCCAGTGAACCTTTATACACCACAGTGTGTGGCTACTCCCTCTTGTAGAATATTTCGTAATATTTATATTGTGTAATATTCTGGCAATAGAGATCCTGAGTTACCCTTGACCTCTCTCAGCTTATCGAACCCCATCAACCGTTATCATCATTGTTATCTTGACTCATGTATTACAAAGGGGGGAATTAAAACAGGATATAATATTAGTGTTTACTTGACAGAAGAGGCGATGTTGTGGAGTGCGCTGGTGCTGGCAGTGGTGTGCTTGCTCCTGTTGCTGGTCACCATCTTCCTCAAGGTCACTATTGTACGTCGACAACCACCACCATCTCGCCCCTCTCACCCCCACACCGCCCCCCTCGCCTCCACCTCTCTACCAAGTCAGTTGTCAACACTTTCTCTTCACATTTTTCATATTCAAATATTCATGATTTCATATTCATCTGTTTATTTTAAAGTTTTTCTCAAGAATGTTTAACTTATTGAAGTAACATAATGAGATCTTTAAATAGTAACAAGTATTAATAATCAGTATAATAATGAAAATAATAATACTAATAATAATTTTTCAAATTGGCACTTTGACTGGTAAATATTACTTTCATTTATTTCATCTATGAAGTAAATGAAACTTTGTATGAGTTAGTTGAGGTAATTGTTAGTCAATGCTTAAACGACTATTGTTTAATGTTCCTCAGATAACGACCCTTCGAACCACACTTACGAATACCTAGAACTTGATCCTCTCTAAGATGACTGTCAACAAGCCGGAAGACTTCCCAGGACCTTCACCGTCGCTCCCACAGACGAGGCGGGGATGTTCCCTCGCGGAGGCTCGCCACAGACGACACCCGAAGGACAGGGGCCAGCGTCGCCTCCCAGCACGCATGACACGCCATCTGGGTCGGCGAGAGTATCTCTGAAAGGTTTAGTGGCCCGGACAATTTAGTATATCATTTGTGTGACGTTGTGGCAACTGGAGAGGACGAGATGGTCTCACCAGTGGACCTCGTAACAAAGCCTGGTGAAGGGTAGGGATTCCGGTAGGTGAGTGATCCTCTGGAGCCGGCGACGCACGAGGAGACTCGACGTACAAATTTCAGGCGCTAAACCCAGCCCGTCCTCTCGAGGGCTCGCAACGTCACTAAACTGATAGCATTAAATTGTTCGAAGCTAACAGAGGACCCACGAGCAGACAATGCGACAGCCATGTCAATATTGTGAGACGCTAAGATTTGTAATACATCAGTTTTTGGCTTCAGGGGAGTATACTTTTGAATTAGCTAAAGAGCAATATATTGACACAATAATGGTAAGAGCTCACTCGTGCATCATATATGTGACAATTGGATGTGTATATACATAATTAAAAATAAATCGAGCAATACTATATTTAATTGCTAAAATGAATAGCAAGGTAAAATCCATAATAAAAATATGCTTGCCAAGTACTGTAAAGCGGTATTAGTTTGTAATGTATGCTCGAACTATATCAACTTTGATAACAGCATCGAGTGTAGGCCACAGGACTCACAACCCTACAAATTCTTTGGTAGAAACATTTATAATACTGAACAATTTGGAAGCCTAATCTAGACTACTTCTTGAAAAGGTCCATTGTAATTGACACAAGGGGCAATGGCTTCAAGCTCAACAAGCCAGAATGTTGGACACACAACAGGACATGAACTCTTTAAACAAGGTTAATGAAATCGCATACCCACCGAATATTTAAGTGCCAAAACAGTCCTCTACTTCAGAATTGAACTAAAAAAAAATCATTAGGAATAATGGAGACAGCATAAACAAGCCGCTGACATCCTGTCCCTGCCGAGGCCACTACAGATAGTAGCCCTCAGGCACATAAATGTAAATGAACCCTGGGAATAAATTACAGGCTGGCTTGAAGTCAGCAGTGTGATGCATCAACATTCAATTATTGATAAGGATTTATATGTTAGCGTTTGAATAAACCAAATCATCATTTCATTATTATTAGTGTATGGAGCCGGTCAGCTGCATATGCAAGACATTAAGCGTGAATTATTAGTTAAAACTTGCTGTTATTTGCATCTGTGCGTGCAAAGTACAAAGATGTAATTATTCATGAATTTAAGCCTTTGTCATTGTAGCCTCGTAATTCCTGTATATTTTCGTTGTACGAAAATGCCCAATATATATTGTATAAATGGATTATTAGTGTTATAAATAAATGCTAGTGCAAAATATGTTTTAGTGTAATGATTGCCCGCAACGCTGATCTCATAGTCAGATAATGTCATCCCATATTATACATATGGATATGTTTTGAACATTGGATTTAGCGTATATTAAAAGTGAGAACATTGTTGCTGACGATATAAAGTGCCTTGTATAGTGACTGTTGTGAGCCTCTTGTTGAATCACTTGTGACACAAAAGATTATTAATGTGTGTATTTGTGTGGGTGAATAAATATGTATATATATGTATACGTATGTATATGTAAATGTATGCATGAGTATGTGTACATGTATATATAACATTAATAATTTTGTAACTAGTGTCAAAAGATTGTTATTTGCTTAGCTAAACGAACTAGAGGGTTCAGTTCCTGAACCGATTATGTGCCTCTAATTCTTTACACCACCGCCCACGGGATGGGTATGGGGTGCATAATAAAGAAAGAAATTGAAGTTTACATGTGATAAAATCTAAAGCAAGGTCGTGCAAACTTCTTTAGAGGTATGTATTGCCGAACCTAACCCAATAAAGCAGCTGTAGTAGTTCCTAAAAGCTTGTTGACTTTACTGGATGCCTATATAGTACGTGGCTCGTCCAGTACAGCACTTCGGAATGAAAGATGAGATAACTACTATAGATTTTACTTTGTCTCTGTTAAATTTTGTTGGGGGTTTTCAGTTTAATTACTGCCATCAGCTATATATGTGCTCATATAGGCAATCCATTATTATCAAATGCATCTTAAAGAGCATATTATTCGGCCAATATGGGATGTAATTCATGTAGACCGACTATAATTCGATCATTATTAATGGTTACAGTTTGTCTTGTGGAATTTTTGCAATCAGGGATGAGTCACAATGACTATATCTAACCATGGGTGTCAATGGTTTAGGAGAAAGAGCCCTCTGTTGCCAGAGCATCAGCCTAACATAAGGAAAGTGCTCTGCTTCAAGTCGATACATTAAGCTTTATTAATTTCTTAAATGGGAAGGGAGAGGGGGGGGGGGTAGTAATAGGGAAAGGGATGCTCTTATTCATGGCACGAGGAAATAATTGTGTCGTAATCTTGTTCTCGAGGCAACAAGATAGCGATCCTACGGGAAAATTATGACTCGGATATATAATGAGTTTCATGCATAGTCCATGATCTGGACTACGTACATATCGAAATATGGAGATTTCACTTTCAAGACATATCTATTTAAGCCATTACGACTATATAGCACTTGGAATGGATAAGGGGATAAGGATTTAGGATAGAAAGGAGGGATGGAATGGTGCCAACCACTTGGACTGTCAGGGATTGAACGCCGACCTGCAAAAAGCGAGGCCGTCGCTCAGTCCAAGTGGATGGGACTTAAATAAACCCATGGAATCTCCTATCCGCCGAAGCTGTATATGCCGACATTGCTTCGATTTAAAAATTTAGCTAGAAAAGATCCCCAGGAATAATGGAGAGACCTTTAACAATCTGCCGGCTTCCTGTCCCCGACGAGGACACTAAAAATGTGGCCCCTCAGGTAAATTAATGTAAAGATACTAGAATTGATCAAATTTCCTAGATGGATTTTATTAATTTATTTATCAGGGCCTCAATTAACCTCGTCAAAATATTTTTACGCAAATAAAATACCAGCGATGGCTTATATGAATATAATAAATTCTCAACAAATACTAATAAAAGTAAGAAATAATCCACTATAATTAAAAACATTAACTACAATTAATTACATATTTGTTGTAACCAAAGTCAGGGTTTGGATTAGCCGTTTGGACGCGAGACGGGGGATTACCCGAAGTAAACAAGAAGGATACGCAACAGGTGGTATGGAGAGAAATCCTTCACTTATACTCCACGTATCACCAAGACGGTCTCGTCGTCGCCCCTCAACCAACAACAGCAACACCAAAAAAGGTTGTGCTCTGCAGTAATACCACGAGATAACTCCAAGTTTCGCTTCTCATGGGGCTACTCGTTGCCTGAAGAGGCTGTAGTTGGACTCCAGCAGGAGACCTCTGCCTCTCCTTTAAGAACTAGCTCGTACAATCATTTATTTAGTTTAATTTACTTAATATACATGCAAGAAGGTATAATTTATTGTGTTAGCACATATTTTGGTGATTAATTATTACATTCGTGTCAGTTCACAAACTAAATACGCATCACTGAAAAAGGAAAAACTATGCAAACTTTACTTATCACAGAGAACGTATCACTTCAACAAGATTAATATTTTCTATCAGCTCTTCACTTTTTTTTGTGATTTCAGCACTTTGTTTAACGTGGTAAGTGACGAAATAATATATCTGTTGGATGAAGGAGAGTTTGAATTCATTATACTTTGATGCAAGACAGACCTAGATGAAGAAGTGTTAGATTTACAGTACTGTATATATATTGTATAATATATATTATATGCAATTGACGATCACGAAACACTGATCATTTGTTTGCAGAAAATCTACAAAGAAATGGTTAAGGAAGATTAACTTTTCGGCCGTTTAAAGCCGTTGTCAACACCAAACTGAAATATCTGGTGTGGACAATGGCTTTAAACGGCCAAAACGTTCATCTTCCTTTCCCATTTCTTTGTGGATTTTCCACATTATATAATATATATTATATATAATATATATACATGAACAGCTCATACATATTATCTGAGTAAGGTGAACAAAAAATCTAAGTAAAATATTTGTCAGTACCAATTACAATTTTATGCTGTTAAATCACTGAAGTTAATTCATAGGATAATTAAATTATTGTAAGTTATATTGAAAACAGTTCTATGTAAACACAGGTAAGTTTGTGAATAAAGATAAATATGAATATGAAACCCTGCCTGATGTTATGCTACCAAGGACTATGAATAATAGATAAAGTTTGTTAGGATGATGCATAATTTCTGTTACATAATGAAGTTTAATTTGGCAACTAATGCACTTGTGAAAACTTCCTTTACAAAATTATAGTAATGAAGGGCAAGATTTAGGATATTTGTTATTTTCCATTGTTGGAGACACGAAGTCAGTTTCATATAGATGTTCTCTTAAGCCAGTGACTGATCCTATGTCAGGGTGCAACCCACAACTGTTAACTAACTTCCAGGTACCTATTAACTGCTAGGTAACCAAGTACCTTTTAACTGCTAGGTAACCAAGTACCTATTAATTGCTAGGTAACCAAGTACCTATTAACTGCTACGTAACCAAGTACCTATTAACTGCTAGGTAACCAGTACCTATTAACTGCTAGGTAAACAAGTACCTATTAACGGCTAGGTAAACAGGGATTGGGTGTAAGGAAATGTTCTTAAAAGTCTCTGCCTTGTGTGGGAATTGAGTCACCTGCAGAGGCCACTGCTCTACAGGACACCTTATTTTTATCACTGAATTTTTGTTTTGTTTTATTTAATTACATTAAAGTTTATAAATTGCTGTCATAGAAGTTCTGTTTTAGTAATCATGACATAATTGTTGAATTTTATTTTAGCTTGATGCATTTCTTAAAAATTATCATGGTTTTAATTATGAGAGAACAGTTTAAAAATATATAACAAAATTCAACCTAACTTTATTTTGATTTATTAATCTTTCCTCTTTCATTTTCCTCACAGACATAGTCTGCTGAATCACACATGAGTTATGTCGATGGTGAGAGATTCAACATGCTTGGGGCCAGCAAGTTGCAGTCCAGATATCTCCGATCAATTTTTATTGGCACAGGTTAAATTAAAGTATGACTTAATTTTTGTTTGTAGTGATTATACTGTTCTATATTTTGAGCCTTGCTTTTCAATTTTGGCAAGAATTAGGTTTATCTCGTAAGAATACCTTATGATTTTAATGATATATGATGCTTGGAGAATGCCTTTGTGTATCACCATGAAACTTTCAACATCTATATATGGAGATGTAAAGAAGGTTATTATTTTTACTGAATCATGTAGGCTTCTAGTGGTAGATTTTTGAGCTACAGTATTTTTCCACATTGTTTTTGAATGATTTATCACAGAAACTAGCAAGTGTAGCCATATATACAATTAAATGTGTATTTCATTGAAGTGTGGATTTTAGGCAGAACTAAATGTACCTATAATAGTTTATCAATTATATCTAGCCATTTTTTTGGAGATACAAAGCCTCCATCTTGTGAGGAAAACTTCCTTCCCATCTAGTGTGTTTTTTCATGGGCAAGCAGATTGTTCTTTTTATAGAATCACATATTCTGTAAGCTTGAAATTATGACCTATTTGTATAGCATCAGCCATCTTGAAGATACGATCCTTGTTTAAGTTTTTTTACCCTGTAACAATAATATGAAATGATCTAGGCTAAAGTTCTCATTTCCATAACAGTACCTGTATTTTAAAAATTGGGTTGAGATTTGCCATGCTATGCCTTGTTTGAAAAATTGTTAGTTTTTTACCTGCAGCCTATACTGTTATTCAAATATGGCTTAATTCTGTGTTGCCTTTTTAAATTAATAGATTCCATCATTGAATAGTGCTGAAGATATAACCCGTTCTCTTGACTTTACACAATAAAGAGCAATTAAATTGTTTTGTCCAACCAGACACTTTTGTATTTAAGGAATCCCCTTAATCTATTGAGGCTCATGCTCAGAAAATGTCAATATTATGGTGATTTAATTTGATATTTGTTTTATTTTGCTATTATTATTTTGCTATTTATTTCTAATTTCAAAATGCTAAGTACTGTATTAATTAAACAACAGGACAGGTTTAAAAATGAGGCATGCAAGGGGTTTTGTAGCGCTGGATAATAATTTTTTGTGTCCATGTATTTTATAGGTATTTCATAATTCCTGTTAATTGGTTGGCATCTTGTTCTGTCACTTTTGGAAATTGGTACATTTGGACTTTTAGATCTTATTACATTTCCACAAAGATCAGAGCAGTTTTTGGACTATTGTGTCTGTGGATTGTTGTGCCCATAATGAATCTTCTATTTTGCTACAATGAATATGGGTACCATTTGCAAATTTGATGATGTAACTTTGTTAAGTCAGTGGCATATACTATATTTAAAATAGGGTAGGGTATTGTGATATCTTTACTCAAATTTTTTTTCAAACACCAATTCTGCTCTTAGAATAACCAATAGTTTTTGTTCATCAACCTTATTTTATTCATGCTACTATTTTGTATATGATATAGTAAGATTTTATATTTAGCACTAATCTTCCATGTGGACCTTTATAACAAAAATCCTTTGAAAACCCATGTACAGTGCATTAAATGTCATATGACAACATTTCTCAGGATTCTTTTTATTAGCTTGTGGATGTTGATCTGATTGGGCGGTAATTTTCATACGCAGTTCAGCTTCCCTTTTTAAAGAGTGTCATTTTTTAAGTCTTGAGAGATGCTTTCTTTGGTTACAGATTTGCTTTCAAGACAATGTATAACTTATGCTTATATCAGTGAAGTGATTGGTTTAAATATTCAAACTTTGACTGGAAAGTCTGAATTCTGTTTTTCTTCATGATTTATATTTAGTTTAACTTATTATATTACTATTAATAACATGCAAAATGTAAGGTGTAGTTTCATTTTTGCAGTATTGTGTAAGTGGCACATTTTTCCTGATAAAATTAAAGTGATTTGGCTGTACAATGGTCTAGCATCTTGTAGTTATGTTGTTCGGAGTGTTGTCGGTGCTTGAAACAAAATATTGCATTTAGGTTTAAGCTTACTATACTGTGTATAGAAACCTGTATTTTTGAAAGTAAGTTATTTGCTGCTAAATAATATTCATAAAACGTTTTCAGTTCTCAAGCCAACACAATATTAGCAGATCTTGATGAATATGAGGCCATCAGTGTCACCTTCTTGGTACTAGATATTGAGTACTTGACAAGACAAGGATTCAAATACTGTCAATACATATGCGATGGACGAGCCAAGGTAAGGGGTAATCATTGGTACAGTTAACACCTAAGTTTTTTGTGTAACTTTTTTGTAAGTTGTGTAACTTTTAGAATGATAAGAAAACATGCTGCATTAGACACCCAACCCACAAATCTGAAAATATAGGAATAGACAACATATCGGTCCATCTTGGATCATCATCACAACTTGATAATGATTCAGGAAGGACCAAAAGTAGTCAATTCTTTTATTTTCGAATTTGTGGATTGGTTGTCTTAATTCCCAGCAATGTTATTGTGACTTGTTGTCTGCATGCTTTATTACTTTGAGAATTATCAGGAAGCACTTATGACGTACAGAATACATTTGGGGCAGTTTTTAATGTTAGGTGATTATGAATATTTCTATAATTTCTCAAGATACTATATTTGCATTTCTAGGAAGCGTTAGAACAAGTGGTTAATACTGTACGCCAAACTTTCGGCCACCTGGAGCATGTTATGGAGGCATTCTACATCACTGGTCGCTATGATATACTTGAGAGCCAGTTGGGCCTCAGTGTTGACCACAATATACACAAAGTAAGTTACTGAATCTATATTCTGTGAAATGAATATGCTCATCATCTTTATTTTAATAAGTTATACTGCTGATGCTCATTCTTTTTATATGATTTTGTGTAATAATTTACATTTCATAATACAGTATGATTATCAATTCTGTAAGTACAGTATATGCAACTTTTCAGTTCTATTTTTCACAGCAACAGAAACTCTAGTTTATTAGAAGAAAAATGCTGAAGTACACAAGAACATAAAAATTAGGAAGCAATGCAGTAGGGGTGTGAGCTCGTATTAGCCGAGTCCCATTTAAATCGACCCCTTGCCTACACTATTTCTTCTTGGAATCTGTTAAACTCTTTGTCTCTACAATGCTTGCTGGAGGCGAATTCCACTCATTCACAACTCCTTTCCTAGCCCAGTACATCTCTATATATTTATAAAAATAATTCTCCAACTTAGACTCATTATTTCTTGTTCTGACTTCCCCAATCATGTCTCCTTCCAGTAAGAGCAGACTGAGACAAAGTTTTTCTTGAAGGAAAGGTTCCTGATACAGGTATCAGCTTTGTCATCCTTCTCTTTATATCCTAAAAAGTCTGCTCACTTTGGAGTATTTCAACCAGAACTGAAGGATGATGCTGTATTCGTGTTTCTGTTGATTCTTCATGTTGTAAATCCCATCACTCTAGTTGCTATATTTAATGTTCTGATATCATCACTTATTTAGGAATCGGTCTGTATTTGTAAACTGATGAAGTGGAATCAGGATGTACATGGGGGGGGGCTCAAGGCTAGTTTTTGATGTTAGGCAGAGTTGGTGCTGCTTCCTGGTGGTATCAGGGAGAAGTATGTGCTAGCTGGGATTGATTGTTGGGTGATTCACAACCGACCAATGGTGAGCATCCACTTACTATCACTGAGATTTGGTAGGGCTGGAGCTAAATAAAAATTGAAGATTTTTTTTAGCTAAAATTACTTAGCTAGTTTAATTAATACTTCCTCTAGTGACTCCCTGCACGGACCCAGTAGTCCCTGTGGTGTCATTTCCCTGTTTTCCTGCTTAAATGAAAGCAATTTCTTGTACACTGCAGAGGATTCTTATACCTCATCTGTGACAAAAGTACTTATGCTCAGAAATAGTATTAGAAATTGTTCTCATTGTGATCTGTTGCTCATAGTTTTTATGTATATTTCAGATTTTTAAAACGTTAAACCATGTTGCTAATGATCGCAAGGCTTTATATTGTGTGTTTGCTGGAATGGCCCAAGAACAAGCTGATGAACTTGTACACAAGAGGTAATTATAGTGTTATAAATGTTTCTAAAAGGAATATCAGAAGGTAGAATGCTGATTGATCCAAGTTGTATTGGGATGTGCTACCAATAAGAATGCTAAAAGCTTTGATTTTTTCCTATGAAAGGTTTATTTCTTTGGCATTAAGTAAGTAATTATCAAAAGAGTTCTTTGGGATTAATTATAGTGCCATATCAAGTGTCACTTTGTAATGCTTTGTACATAATCTGTTCTGTACTTGTGTTCCCATTTTTGCTTTATTTTCCTTAACATGTGCCATTCTGTCTTTCTCTTGCTTTCCTATTTTTACGTGATTGATATCTTAATTTTTTTTGCATATTCATGCTTCCTTTAGTATGAATCAATATTTACTGTTTAATCAATATGTGGAATTCTTCCGCCTATATTTTAAGCTCCTTTAGTTTCTCACATTTCACATTCCCGGTAGTACAGTCAGGTTCGTTCTCGACGCACAATCAACAATTCCGGGTTCGAATCCCAGGCGAGACAGAAATGGTTAGGAACATTTCCTTTCACCTAATGCCACTGTTCACCTAGTAGTGAGTAGGTACTCAAGAGTTAGTCAGGTTGTGGGGTTGCATCCAGGGCGGGGTCAGTAATTCGGCCTTGGGAGTGGGGGGGACCTCGATAAAAGCTAAAACATGTATGAATACACTCTGGCTTCCTGTCCCCAACAATGAATTATTATTATATAATTATTTCAATAGAGAATGGGTCCACTGCACCAGAGGGAATAGGGAAGTCCTCTCAAGGAATTAGAACTTCCAGAGGAAACTGGCATCATGGATGTTGGTAGAAAAATGTAAGCAGAAAGATAGATCACTGGAAAGCAAATACAGTGATGTCTTGTAGTGGAAGTCTGGATGCACCAAAAGGAATTCTTTTTGGTTATGGTAGGTTATGACTGGATTATCGAAGTTAGATATCAGTATAAATGAGTTATTTTATCTTATCTGAATTGGTATAGGATCATAAACATAAACAAATTATGCAATTCTATTATGTTTACACTAATAAAACACATTAATTTTATTACAAAAAAATATGAATCTGAAATCAATTATGCCACATAATCAAGATATCATTAGTTCATTGTAGGTTTATGTTCTTGTGCTCAGAAATTATGACTCCAGTATGAGCAATCCAAGATATCTACTGTATATTGCTGAGTATCATAGTTTTAGAGTATTTATATTCTTTGGTGTTTCAGACTGATGGGGTGGTATTGTCCTGAAATGGGAAGGCCCTTAGAAGAAACATTTGTACGCAACCTCAACAGTGGCAATTATGAAACACTCATTACAGAACTCTTTGAAGCATTGTTAGAAGAGGACAGGGAGACTCTGGCTTCTTATTTGCATCCCTTCATTATCAGTAAGATTATCAATTTGTTGTGATTTCTTTTTGTGATATTTTAATCTTAAAAAATGTACACAAGAATATTTGAAGTTGATACTTTGCGGTGACTATGTAGCATGGTAATAATGTTAAAATTTCTTTAACGATCAATTAATGAGGAACAGAATACCATTGAATAGGGTGATGTTTGAGAATTATTGTGAGATGATAAGATAGAGAGGTGCAAAGGGTAAGTATTAAAAGAGTAATAACAAACACAAAGTTAAGTGAATGGAGATATTGAGATGAGGTTCAGTATGCAGCTTAGTGACCATGTCACTAGAACGTGTCGGTGAAAATGACATGTTTTGCAACTTAATTTGAAAAATAAGAACAATATCAGAAGCAGGAATGAATAGCTTATGTTTGAGTTTTGCTAGTCATATGAAAAATAGAAATGATATTTGGAAATTATATAGGGAATATATGATAAATTTATTAAAATTTAGATACATGGATAGAATGATGTATAGTAATTAATGATTGTGTCCCTTAAATTATTTTGTTAATGCATCTCGAAGAAGACTGTAAATCTTCTTCTCTATATCTGTAGAGTCTATTTGGAATGTGGATAGGTGGTAAAGAAGAATATGCAGAATATGGACAGGTAGTAAAGGCAGAGAACATGCACTGTGGGTAGGTGATATAGGTAGAAAGCATTATAAATTTACTAACCTCTTACTCCAACTGACATACCATATACTTCAGGAGTCTCACGCACTCCATCCCTTTCGTCGCAAACGTCGCAGATAAACGAAAGCAACTATTACCCCTTGCCCACATGCTACCCTCATGGACTCTGCATCATCATCAATATAAAGACCTTCATGAAGCCTAGAGAAATGAATGACAATGTAAGTAAATAAATAGGACTTTTGTATGTGTCTTTGGAAGCAGTGTTTACTGTTGAGGCTTCATAATGGTGAACATTGCAGTGTACTGGCATTATTTAATATAAATAAACCTTTAGATAGGATAAACAGCCAAATGAAAGAACTATTCGGTATTCCATCCCTAGATTGGTAAAGAACTACCCAGTCTCAAGAGTAGTATATTTTTCTCCTGTTGTTGAAGAACTTGGGATAAACCAAAACATTGTACAGGCAACTTGTGCTTTGTGTGTGGTTGAATAGAAAGTTATATTGCTTTCTTTAAATGGGTAATAAACATTTTTACAAGCATCAAGTTGAATTTGTTTTCTTAGTTTCAAGTTGGATCATTGTTTTCTATTATTCACTACAATCTATTCATCATCCCCCCTCCCCCTTTTTTTCTCTTTTAACTATTGTCAGACACGCTGTACAGTCATGTACATAACCACTTAAGATAATAATTTGGATAACACTTTCTTCAAAATATGCACAGCAAATTAGATTTATGTAGAATGACAAATATTACACATGCTGTACATTATTTTCATTGGCATTATGCTCTCGCGGTATTTACAGTGTATAATTTTTCTTTCATAGATCCCTCTTTCTGACCGCCATGGATCAGATATTGATAAAGAACGCCTTGAAGGCACCTTCAAATTGTTTGGATTCCATGTGATGCATTTTGACAATCCTGATTATGACAAGATACATCAGTTTTTTAAAAATCTTCGAGTTAACCCACGACTTGCCGTTGTTTCTTGCCTGGCAGTGTGCATAATGACTCACGGAGACGAGCAAGGTGAGTCTGTTTTTGTGTAATGTTGCATAAAGAACAACGACATATCTGCACAGTTACGCTGCTTTGGTTTTGATTCGACTTTTAGAATTATACAGACAAATATGAATTGATATTGCATATAGTTTTTACTTGGCTTAGAAGTTATAACTTTTAATGTATTCTATTGTTGAGACAGTACAAGACTGTTAGCCCTCAGCATGAGAGAGTTAGGTATGATTGAATTTCACCATACATGGGGTAGGTATTTAAGCTTTTAAGTTGTCAATAGCAATGATTAGTGCTTTTTATTTGATGGCAGTTGATTCATATGTCAAATAGTGATGGTACTAGTGGCAATAAAGAAATATGAAGTCTGCTTATAAATTCTTTCCACCAACCAGAACAGATGCCTGCATCTAAAATAATGGCACAGCAAGGAAAACCATAGTACACAGAATTATTAAAAAACAAATTTGAGCCATATGGCATATGGCTGAATTTAATGTCTAATATTGTAAAGTGTTTATAATGTGTGGTCTTAGAAACATAGGTACAGTACAGTACTTCAGTATTTCTTGGTACATTTTCTAATGTGATCGAAGAAAGTGGGATTTATGTAAGGGACAACTTTAATAAAATCAGCTTTGCTATATGAGGCAAATCTAATTAATAACACATACTGCAAACTCATGATACAGTACAAAGAATTTCAGATATTTTTATTGTCTTTTTAATTTTGTAACCTATTTCCAAAGAAAAATTATTACCGTCATTATTTTATTCTATATATTTTTGAAATTGCATTATTAGAGCTATGTTTTGTTCAAGTACTGTATGTAATTTAAACAGAATTGTAACCTGTCCTCAGAGGCTATGTACCTATGTGATAATCACTTCTAAATGTACTAAGTAATTAGTGCTTTATCAACCCATCCTCATTAGATTTGTACTAAATTTACATTTTGTACTAATTGTACTCAATAGATTTGTACTAGTTGCTACCAGAAAACAGTCTTCTAAGTTTGAACAAGGAGTTATATTTCCTGCTTCCTTTTTATCTTTTTCAGAATTCAGCAAACATGTTAAAATGATTAGAAGAGCTTTGGTGATTCCAGCTGCATAGTGCTACTTAAGAGTACTATACATTACAGTACATAAATATAGGAGAAACATCTTATCCTTTTACAACCTCTTAAATATTCAATGACCTTATATTTGGAACAGACACCAAATACAGAGGCAGAGTAAGAATTATTTTACATTTCGGTTTTGAGAACCATCATAAGAATTGAAAATTCATTTTAGGACAAGTGTACAGTACCATCATGAATTTGTTTGTACCATTTTAGCATAAAACTAGCAGATCAGCCTCAATTTTGCAAATATGATGGCTCGCTCGCACTCTCTCTCCAGTATTGTACGCGACACATTCTATGAAGTATCTGGATCGTGTATAAATAAGTGACAATTTATCAGATAAATTATACAGTACATTGAAGATATAGTATAAAGAAATTATATCACAACCTTTTTACCATTTACTTTTTTTCTCTTCTCCTGGGCTGATGCCTCCCCTCCTCGTAAAAGTAGAAAACGGAGTAATGTTAATGGATGGATTATGTATAGCACATGGCTGGCATGTTAAGCTGATTTATGTATAATAGATCAGTTATTGTATGTGTCAAATCAGTAGATGTATTAATAACAGATTACAGTATTTTGAATAAATTACTTGAACAAGATTTTTTAATAATATTTTTGTGTATTACAGATCAACTCTACTTGCACGATCGCTCCTGCATTTCCATCACAGACATTCGAAAGTTGTGTTTCAGTCAGGCACTTTTGAACAAACCAAGGCTGTATTTCGTTCAAGCATGTCGAGGTGAACAGGCTCTGAGACGTAAGTATTGGTGCTGCTATAGTGTAGTTACTTCACACACCACCGCCGCCAACAGTATAGCTGCTCCCTCTGGCACACCAACACCTCCACACTGTGCATACTGCTTAAACCCTGATCTTTGTCACAACTTACTCTCTTCATAATTTTTTTCTCTACCAAACCAAACAAAATAGTTACTCTTGCTTCCAGGTCATTCCATTTTCTTTTAACTGTTTTGGACATTAAATGCTCTAATTTTGTGCTCTTCATCCTTTTCCTTAATACTTTAGCCATTAATTCCTTTTTTTTCTTATCACTTACAAATGACCAGACAATGCACACTGGTCCAGTTGGGGTCTTAATTTTGGATCTTGCAAGAACTTCATCTGTTTTCCTGGGTCTGTGCCCCCATCTCATGGTTTTCTTTGATTATTACCCCCATTTTACCAACACCATTCTAACAATAGTAATTCTGTGAAATTAACATTGGGTAGGCAATTAGTTGAGCTGATTAACTTTATTTAGTGAATAGCCAAAACCTGAATTACCTGTGCTTCAGGGGTGTGTAGCCAGACTACCTGAATTGCAGCTCTGTATGGCAAATTGGAGAATGCAGTGTCTAAAGCGTTTCAGTCTATTACTATCAGTCTTTATCTTTCATAAGAAAGATTGGTGGTACAACAGCTGATGACTTACAGGGAACTTAGTTTTACTTATGCTTGATGGGTTAGGTTTTATGTCACCATGGAAGCCAGATCTTGGTCTAGGCTGTGAGAGTAGAAGTGAAAATTTTGGATAGGTAATTTACAGACTACTGGTGAGAGGTGGATTTTGGTCCAGTACTACTTGTTGTAGGGACATGAGGGTTGACATTTGGATGCATGTGACATGCATTGTATAATAGTAGTGAAGGTTTTTATAAAAAACATGTCATTGATATAAAGTTTCTAAATTATTCATCTTTATTATACTGATACATTTACTATTTTTAAATTCTTCAGCAATACTTCTGCAACAGGACACCTGCACCGTTACCCATGTAGAGAGTGACTGCCTCATCTCTGCTGCTACGGTTAAAGGGTATTCAGCTGTAAGAAGCCAGACAGAAGGCAAGTGTGGTTATTATTTTTGTCTGAAAAATTACTAACTGCATTTGTCAATTTCATTTGACTATCATTTGGCATGTCTTGATTTTTTTCTGCTGATAGTAAAATTACAGTATACTTTTATTATTATGCAAGTTTTAGATTTTTTGGCCTGTGAATGATCTATTTGATGTTAAGCTAAGTAATAACTATAAAAGCAAAAATGTACACAACTGTTGTGTTGATTATTGAGGCTCCCCATTGGCTACCACCTGCAGTCCTAATCTATACTAGGTAAATGTTTTTCAAAGCACAGAATTGTTATTTCAGAAAAGAAAAAATATTTGTATATTCTTGTACAGTACTGACAATGTTCTGAAACTAATTATTGCCTGATTTTAATTCATGTAACTAAGATAAGTTTTGTTTGTACCAGAGTACTTTTATACATTTTCTTCTTCTTTAAAGGAGCTTTAAAGTACATGTAAGCATCTGATTAAATAACTGGATACATTCATGTATTTTTGTTAATTGAAAAGGTTTAATTAATTATATATATACCAAATTTCATGTCTTTTGAAATTGTGATTACAGTATTTTCTTATTTTTAAACTTTCAGGATCATGGTATATCACAGACTTGTGTCACGCAATGCAAGAGTATGGCCATATTCTTCCAATCAAAAATGTACTGCAAAAGACAAGACACAGTCTAAAATCTCGTATGGGAAGCATGAATAACACCTATGTCACACAACTTTCAGAGGACAAAGATACTCTGACCAAGTAAGGGTCATAATTCAGTACTGTACCATCCCACTAGATAGTTAAAACTTCAAGAGAAATGTAAACAATAGGTGTACATCCCCTTACAAAAGTCATAGCATTTTATTGGTATTGGCCTACATTGAACAGCTGCCTTATTTGGGTACCCAGTGCCTAGAAGTTCCTGCCAGCCATGGATCTGGCATTAATTGTGCTGCAGAAATTTCACTTATAAATTTGCCAAAATTCTAGTTCATCCTTTGCATGAACCCACCGGAGTTCATGATGGAACATCTTGTTATTCCACATATATTTAGTAATGAGGAGGTATAACCTTACCCATCAGGACCTTGAAAGATTGATGGGCATGAAGACCTTCACTTCCATAGTTTAATCAAAGCCGATTATTGTTCCAACACTTGAACCAGATTTTTTGACACCTTTCTCAGTGTTGCCTTTAGGATATCTTCTTTTCTACTGATCTTGGAAAGTCTGCTTCTCTAGAGATTTCCAGTCTTTGCTTTTTGGGGTTAGTTCTGTTGGAGCCTATTCCCCATCTCTTAAGTTCTTCACAAACACATGATTTGTCACCACTCTGCTATGCAGACCAGTGCCTGTATCCTCCTGATCTGTTGCAGGCACATGTTGATACTTGGGAGCTGGTAGCACTATGGTTTACTTTGAAGTGCAAAACTCTCCTAAGGGACTTAACTTTTCATCTATGTATCTGTGGGGCATGGGGATTCATCTTCAGCTTATTGCTGTGGGGCATATCAGTCCAATGTGGGTTCTTGTGCTGGTTGCCTGCAGAGTGAGCCTGACATTTTTAGCTGCCGTTTTTCTGGCAGCTGCTGTGGCGGAGACTGTGCTCTAGTTTTTTTACCTTGTCCTGGTGGGGGGGAAATTTCCACAGGACTCGCTGGATGCTTCCTTAGATGATAATCTCACTTCATCAGGAGATTTGCTTGGTCTTTATCTTTTTTTCTTCCTGTGCCCCTTTCTCTTCGTCTTTGTTTTGTAGGCTCATTGCCACCAAGATGGTGTCCCTTCCTTACTGCCACTGACCTAGTCTCGGCTGGAATCTTGCTCGTTTTGAGTGGAGTGTGTTCAGTTTTCTAATTGGATTTTTGAGTGGTTATGGAATGGCCTGCTTTTACCTGCATGGTCTTCCCAAGAGTAATGTTTTGCTGTGTGTATGTTGTACTTATTTCTTTGGGATGCTCCATTTTGCCTTCATTAAGGCTGTTGGGTGCAGTTTCCACTTGCCCCTGCAGTTCTTTGTCGCAACTGACCTTTTCAAGCTTTCGGAATTCGTATAGTGGTGGTGTCTTATGCTCGCCCTCTTCTCAGTCACAATGGCTCGCTCTCAGCTTGGAATTCGTGGTTGCTGCATTCTTGGCAGCCCTGGACCACAGGATGGTTAGCCTTCTGATAGATAGATGCACTTAGTGAATTAAGGGTGGTAGCAGTTTTGGGTTTTCTCTGTATTTGTTTCCAGCGTTTCTCTGTATTTGTCTGATCCAGTTCTCCTTGTGCCTGTGTTCCAGTGGATCTTTGTCTCACCATTGCAGATCAGTTGATTCTCTTCCTGTGGGGGCTAGATTCAACATGTAGCTCAGCTTATGGTTTCTCGAAGTTTGGCTCTCCATGCAGTTCATGTACATGTGCTTCTTCCTTGTTCTCTTACAGTCCCATACTTCAACCCATTTTTCTATACTTCAACCTATTCCTATACTTATTCCCTTATGTTTACCCATCCCTGTTCTTACCTTACCAGTACTCTTATTTTTCAACCTTTTTGCCTACCATCTCTCACTCTCAGCTAATCAATTGACTTTTCCTTCTGCCCTATTTTTCCATTATATGACTTGATAATGGTCCAGGATAGACCAAAACATCGTCAATTCCTTTTTCAGATTTGTACTTTGAGTGTCTATTATAACATTGTCTGTCCCAAAAATCCTGCATTGAATATAATGAAATGCCCCTTTCTGGCAAGTCCCTCAGTGGCTCCCCAATCCCACCCTTCTGTCCTTTCTGTGGTACAGTACTCAGGGTCATTATTTGGATAGTATGTTTATGACTGGGGCAGAGGGTTAGGACCCTCTGATCACCAGGGCTGCCATTTGGTAGTAAGCAAGTATTACTAACTAGTGGATTGACCTAGACAATGAGTGTGTACATAGTTCACATCACGGTTGCACATGTGGAGATCTTGTATCTGCAAACTTCCCCTGCCCCTGTTTTGAAGTAGCCAGATTCTGGTCCCGATGTCCAGTTGGTGCTCATGATTCGTTAAAGAGTCTGATGGGGTAACTAAGGTTTGGAGGTTGCCAGGTGGGTAGCTTCGGAAGCCACCGAGGGACCCACAAGAGGTGTTTTATTACATTCAATGCCGAGTTTTATTTCCCAGACTTACTGTCTGGTTGAAGTCTTATTTACTTTTACTGTACTTGTATTTTAATTACATGTGGAACACATTGTAAGAACTGTCAATGGCAAAAAAGATTGAGACTTCTTGTTGCAAATTTCCAGAGATTTGAGTTGGAACAGGTTTAATTTACTTAAGTCATTCAGGGAAAAGAAATTCACTAGTACCCACAGTATTAGTAGACCACCTATTAAGATATGCCATTTTTAAGGCTCTGTCTAAGAATCCTCAGACAGTGGCCGACAATGTTCTTAAGAACCTGCTTGATCTGTAGATACCAAATTAGATTTCTTGGCATTAGTTTCCTGCATATTTATTTTTGTATTTGCTAATATAATGTCAAATTTATTCAAATTCTATATATCAGATATGACTTATTTCAGAGATGTACAGTTGGTGAGAGCTGACGAAGAATACTTTTTGGATGGCATTTTGGATCTTGCACGGCTAGAACTAATGGAGAAATTGCTCCAAGAGGCAGTGGAGGAGGCTCTTGGTGAATTAGAAGGCAGTGGACAATTTGCTTGCTTTTCAAAAAACTTCTCCAGGGTATGCATTTCATAAGTGTGGCTATGTGCAGTGTCCTGGAAAGTGGGGGGGGGGGGGAGGAAGAGTCTCAATGTGCTGTATAATGAGCCTACTAAAAGAATATAAACTTGTAAACCGATTCAGCTTCTGGGTTATTAGTAAGGACCACATTAAGAGATTTGTAAAGCATAATTATTTAATTTGTGTGTATTTGAAGGTACATTGTATTTTTAAAGCTGTTATGGACTGCTTTTAAGGATTAATGCATTACAGGAGGTCTCTTATGTGAATACTCGTCCATCTGAACAATCTCCAAATTCCCCGGTTTTCTGTCTCGATCCACCATACATATACACTATATAAATCAATCAATCAATCAAAATGTCCACATAACCCCACTAGTGTCATGCTGTAACCCCCACTACCCCAGTCAGCAGTACCATGATCACTCAGAGCTAATACTCTTTACTCTCAACATTGTAATTGAACAAGGTAATTTCACATGTATGTGTTGGTGCAATTAGTGTCGATGGCAGACGAGTCGTTTTCCTTGATGCTTGCCAGCCACAGCCATTTGCTACATGATTCTTGTGGTCATTCCTTCACCTATTTCCCTGCCTTTGCTGTTGTATAGCAGGCAAGCATTCTCGGTAAGGCATGGAATATGTCGGGCACTCTCAAGCTCTGTCGTTATTTCATGTGTAAAAGGCTGCCTAGGAAGTAGTTAGTGGGAGTGGGCATTGGGAAGTAGTAGTAGTAGTTTGTCAGGAGTTGAGAAAGTGGGTGTAGGGGTGCTCTGACTGCATGCGTAGGGAGTGGGGTGCCAGGAGCAGGTGGGTGGATATTGGCAGTCTTTACAGGAGTGATGTTTCTGGTAATATGACAATGTTAAAAGTGGCAGCTCAAGTCCTCAATGACCCCACAAACTTGCATGATTTGTTTAAGACCAGATTGTGTTTACTCTGTTAGTAGAATGAGGTCCATGGGCTGGTAATAGGAGGGTGGGGAGGTGTTTACTCATGGCATGAATTACAAAATGGTTTACCACCAAAACAGTACACATGCATTTTTATTTATTTATTCATGTAATTAGACTTTACTCTTCAAAAACAGTCAACTTTGAATGAAGTTATCCTGTTTGTCAAGGTAAATATGCTGTATTTTTATATTATGTACCTCAAAAAATATTGTTTATACAAGGATTTTTAGTGGTCTGGGAATGCATCCTCCATTTACAGCATTGTGCATATGGAAAGTCTAATTCCGCATTCCAAACAAATGCTATACAAGCATTTTCTGAACGTATTCTGTTCATTAAAGGGGGGAGGGGGCACTGCCTGTACACGAATCTAACACTAATCCTTTCCCCTTTACATAGTGCAGGGCATTATCTTTAATTATATGGTTGGGCCATACATACAAATTTTTCATGAAATAAAATTCTGTATATTAATGTTGCTATAATATATTCAAATTTTATCGTGGATGATAGGCATACTGTGAAGAAATTTTCTGATTAAATTAACCTGAAGTAAAACAATTAAAATACTAAATTGGCTAGTAAAAAGATGGATTGTCTTATTACACGGTTACATGATTTTATTATAGACAGTCCCCCGGCTACAAATAGGCTACACTCTGAAAATGAGTCTGTATAGCATTTGTTTAGAACATTGAATGAGATCTCACAGGCACAATGCTACAATGCATGACCACTAAAAATCCTCATATAACCAATATTTTTGTATTATAAACAATGGCATATTTAAGGTCATGTTCAGGTTCATCAGCCTTGTATACTGGAGTTATCCTGCTTGTCAAAATTTGCTACTTTTGAAGAGTGAAGATGTCTACATGAGTAAATAAATGAAAATGTGTACTGTATTGGTGGTCAGCCATTTTGTAATTCATGTCAAGAATAAACACTTCTTGCCCCCCTCCTATTACCAACCTATGGACCCCACCCTGTTCTTGTTCAAATTGAGAGTTTGTGGATCACTGTAAACTTGTGACAGCTGCTACATAACATTGTCATCTTCCCTGAAACATCACTCTCATAAATATTGGCAATACTTGCACCCACCCACCCTCCTGCTCCCAACAAGACGATACAAGTTGCTGTGCATCTTACTCCCCCACCGTCTTTACACACACACACCCAATCTCTTCCCTAAACCACTTCCAACCTCTTACACATGGAATAACAACCAAGACTGACATGCATACTTGCCTATACCTACTATGCAATAGCAGGAGAACAGGTGAAAGAATAAACAACTATCATTTAGAAATGTGCCAATGGCTGTGGACAACTTGCATGAAAGAAAACTACTGTACTACCAATCTTCCGCCAACACTAATTGTACCATACCTTACATGTGAAATTACCTTGCTCTATTAGAATATTGAGCGTAAAGAGGATTGGCTCTTTACGAGTGTGATCATGGGGCAGCATGACATTATTCTATACACAGAAAAATCACAATGTGATATATCAAAGAACAGATCCACAGGAGCCTTGATGAGGGTTCGAACCTATAGAGCATGTCTGGGAACACTCGGGGCAGTCAACTGTACCACGACATGGTAAAAAGAATTGCAACCCGGAGTGCTACTGCACCCATGAGGCTTGTGGGTGCAGTAGCACTCCAGGTTGCTATTCATTTTACCATGTCGTGGTACACTTGACGAGAGCGTGTCTGGGAATACTCGGCGCATGGGTTCGAACACTCATCAAGGCTCCTGTGGGTTTGTGCTATGATACTATTGTCATGTGGAGAATTTGATCGATTTATATATTCAGTATATGGTGGCTTGACATATAAACAAGGACTTGGGAGGCTGTTTGGATGGGTGAATGTTCATATAACTGGGACCTCCTTACTTTATTGTAGTACGTATCCTTAATAATATGTGCTATGTTTAATTGACATTTTAACATGCTTATTTCCATTACCGGTGATTCTTATATTTGTACTAATCTTTGGCACATCTGTTAAAAATAAAATATATTTTGTGTAAATATAATTGTTTTATTGGTTTACTCCATGATTGTAAAAACGTTTAAAAATTGAAGGAAAATTTGACTAATAATTTGACTGAAAGATGTTGTAAACATTATAGTGCAGGGAAATGTTCAAAATAAGTTTTCCTGCAAATGTATCAGTGAAAGTGTACATATTTGAAGACAAAAATTCATTCACAAGTTATTCACCTTAGTCCAGCTAAAGCACACAAGCAATGTTTCAGTCCTCCATTTCCTCATCCATGCAGGAGTCAGCCACTGTAGAAAACACATGAAATAACCACAATAAAACAAATTGTGGAAGTCACAAAAGAAAAACCTTCAGGCAACCATGACAGAAAAGCTGCAGGGGAACCCTTTTTAAAAGCCTGTTCCATACTTGAATACCTTGCTCCATGTTCTTCTCAGATACTGCCTTCTGAACACTACAACACATTTTGCCACCATTTATCCAACTCCATACTTGAAACTTCATCCACTATGTTTAAAGTGTGTAACCCTCTCTCACTACACAATATATTTTCAGCCTTTCCAGGCATCCTATTTACTTCACTGCTAAACAAAACAATTATCAGAAAGTATAAGATACATATATCATCAGAACAGGAAACTGGAGCTCTTATTAAATGAAATATTAACTTAAATGATAGCGAGTGGGTTCCTTAACTTATTTGGAACCGATATAAAAATTGTTATACTAGTGTACTATTAGTTTTGTATATGCATCAGTATGCAAAATGAATAAGGTACAAAAACAAATTAACAATAAGATTGAAATGCTTAGCTTTAAGTTGTTAATAATAAATAAATAGCGACTGCTTTATATGTACACACACAATCTTGTACAATTACTAGCCGACAGCACAACACTAAAACTTACTTGATCCTAGCATAAACTATCTTCAGACTGATGTTTCAAAATTATCTTCAGGAGATACTTTGAGTGACGACGGTCTGTGAAGCAGCACCATGTTAGAATCTGTGATGATTAAGTTTTCATCATCTCCACTGTGGTCATGTTCAGGTTCATCAATTGCTGAATCATGGTCACTTGGTGCCTTGACTGTGGACATGACACGTCCAGAAAACTTCTCACCATTACGACCACTGCAAATTAAAAGATAACTATTACTTTTTTTAAGGAAACTTGTGGCAAGAAATTAATTCCTTGCACAAGTTTAATCACATATTCATCAATAGATTTTAAGACCCAGCTTCTTTTTATTAAGTTGCACAAATTCTTGGTAATTAGGAAATATATTCTCTTATTTATCTAATATTCTGCTAACTTCTTCAAATTATGCAATATATAAAACCTTACTACAGCAAACTTTAACGAGAAAACATTTTCCATTTCCTTTATACCTGTACATTAATTCTATAGCTTTTCTGAGAGGAAAGCCTTCAGTGATTATACCATGCATTAGGGAAACTGCACTAAAGTGGAGTACCACAGGGTTCAGTTCTAGCATAAGTAATGTTCATTGTCTACATAAACAATCTATCAAATGGAATACAGAATTATATGAACATGTTTGCTGATGATGCTAAGATAATGGGGAAGATAAGAAACTTAGATGATTGTCATGCTCTTCAAGAAGGCCTGGACAAAATAAGTATATGGAGCACTACTTGGCAAATGGAATTTAATATAAATAAATGCCATGTTATGGAATGTGGAATAGGAGAACAGACCCTCCCCACTCAACCTATAAATTGCATATTGTTGACCAGACCACACACTAGAAGGTGAAGGGACAACAACGTTTCGGTCCGTCCTGGACCATTCTCAAGTCAATTATCTTAGCATATAAATTACGTATGTGAAAAATCTTTAAAGAATTCTGATGAAGAAAGATCTAGGGGTGGTTCTAGATAGAAAACTATCACCTGAGGACCACATAAAAGTATATTGTGCGAGGGGCCTATGCTACACTTTCTAACTTCAGAATTGCTTTTAAATACATGGATGGCGAAATACTAAAGGAATTGTTCACGACTTTTGTTAGACCAAAGCTGGAATATGCAGCAGTTGTATGGTGCCCATATCTTAAGCACATCAACAAACTGGAAAAGGTGCAAAGACATGCCACTATGTGGCTCCCAGAACTGAAGGAGAAGAGCTACAGGAAGAGGTTAGAGGCATTAAATATGCCAGAACTAGAAGATAGAAGAAAGAGAGGTGATATGATCACTACATACAAAATAGTAACAGGAATTGATAAAAATGGTAGGAAGATTTCCCGAGACCTGGAACTTCAAGAACAAGAGGTCATAGATTTAAACTAGCTAAACAAAGATGCCGAAGAAATAAAAGAAAATTCACTTTTGCAAGCAGAGTGGTAGACGGTTGGAATAAGTTGGGTGAGAAGGTGGTGGAGGTCAAAACTGCAAGTCATTTCCAAGTGTTTTTTGACAGTGCTGGGAAGATGGGCCACCACGAGCGTAGCTCTCATCCTGTAACTACACTTAGGTAATTAAAGTGGGTCTTGAATGCCTAGTAACCTATAGGAATCCAGCCATGGCTAGAATTAATTAAGTACTGGGACATGACATGGCAACCAGCAGTGCCCAGATGTAAACACCAATCCTGTTGTGCCTTCCTGCTATCTGGAGGCAGATCACCTTGGAGGGGTTCTCCCTAGCCTGGAGCCTTACTCACAAGCATGGCTCCACCAAGGTTCCATGTCTCTTGCCTGGATCTAACATTTCATGTTAACAACTAAGTGGTGTTGGCTCTGGTTCACTATTTTACTCCAACTTTATGTCTGGGTTACTTTTCTTGGTTATCGACTCGCATCTCCCCTGCCCTGAAGGATTTGGCTTCCCCCCTCCTACAATGCCTGTTGATGGGGAGGAAAGCTTTCTTATGAGTCATCTTGGTGTTGTCTGCACTTTATGATGTCATGCTTCACTCTTCTCTTTTTTTTGGTGGGGGGGGGGGCAGCTAGCTCATATTGGAGTTCAGGGTTTGTCCAGCCCAATTACCATCTTCATGCCTACCTGTCCAAGTGGCATAGTGGCCATTCTTTCCTATAGTGACTTTACAAACTCCATTGATGGTCAAGCTATCATAGCTTCCCTCTGTGTCTGGCCCTGACACTGATATTTGCAGTTTTCCAGATTTGATTGTGGATCCAGTGCCAGTTGTTACTGGGCTGTGTGTCTGGGTCCTCCTCTGGTTCATGAGGCTTTCCCAAGTTCCTGCACCAGGTTTTTTCTTGTCCAAATGGTTTTCTTGGTTTCAGCAGGTTACTTGTCTATCTTCACTCATTTATTTGTCTTATTCTCTCAGTTAAGCTCTGGCTGCATTTCCCGGTTCATGTTCATTTTGTTTTGGTTCTGCTGGCCTCCTTTGCTGAGGCTCTATTGAAAGATAGCTCAGGGAAGACACTAGGGGCTTCCATCCCCAAAATAAAGCATTGAATGTAATGAAATGCCTTTTTCCTGTGACAATTTCTCACCTGTCTTCTTTTCCATGATTTGAGGGATTTACAGGGACAGCTCATGAGCGAGGCTCTGGAGTAGCGGGGACCCCACAAATGATCTGACCTGATGGCAGGCAGATAATTAGCCAAGTGTTCTTACAGGACGAGAGCTACACTTGCGGTGTCCCATCTTCCCAGTACTTTTTGTCATATAACGCTTTGAAACTACCGACAGTTTTGACCTCCACTACTTTACCTCCTCCACCTTCTCACTTGTTCCAACCGTCTACCACAGGTGCAACAGGATTGGTGTTTATATTTGAACCAGATGTTGGTCCTGGTTAAATTGGGTCTCAGAAGGATGGTACAATTTCACCTAAGGCATAGCACAACCAACACTGCTCAGGAGATTCAATGAGGTATCTGACAAGTGTGTTTCATTGCATTGAATGCCTAATTTTTATGACTACTTACCAGTTCAAGATCCGCAGCAATAAGCTATGGTATGGAGTAAACTGTGCAGCAGTAAAGTGCATTGGGTGATATCGTGCATGATCATAGTAGTCGCAGAGCTCGTGGATAATACGTGGCTCAACCAGTGCCAAGACACCTCCTGGATAGGTAAGATTCATCAGGAAGGCTCTGATGCTTTCCCTAGATCCACGAACTCCAACTCCTTCCAGTGATGACAACTCTTGCTCTGAAAATTACAAGATGTTTAATTGTACTTGCACATGCATGCATGCCATTTACAAATACACATTAAAAATGAAAATACATGTTTATAGTTTCCCAAGCTGAGATAATACAACTAGAAGAAAAGTTGAAAATATCTATTTCACAAATACAGGAATGAATAAAGAATAAATGAAATATTGTTATTGAAGAAATTTAATCTTTGATGTAAAATATAAATAAAAATTGTAATTCAATTAACAAATCCACAAGGGCCGTGACGAGGATTCGAACCTTCGTCCGAGAGCATCACAGACGCTGCCTTAATCAACTGAGCTACGACATGGTCAAAAGAATTGCAACCAGAAGTTCTACTTAACTTATTTGGATCCTGCAGCCTCTCCGAGACACAAACCAGGATTTTACACAATTCCCCCATGCACTCGAGCTATGTCAATAGGCCGTTCTACCTCTTCGCTCTTATTTCATTACACACAGAATTCACAGTAATTTCTACATACAGAGGTAGAACGGCCTATTGACAAACCTGGAGTGCATGGGGGAATTGTGTAGCTAGTCGATTAAGGCAGCGTCTGGGATGCTCTTGGACACAGGTTCGAATCCTCGGCATGGCCCTTGTGGATTTGTTCATTTGATGCATCACGCTATTGTGATTTCTGTGTGTTACATCCACTCCTTCCCAAAACCTTCCACTGCTATTTTGCCTGGTTTGCTTTCAATCCCAAACAGGGTGGAGGCAAACCAGGCTGATATGAAATGAAGCACAGTAGTATAGTATACCAGGAGGGACTGGGGTCGGGTTGTCCTCCCACCCAACAAAAAGAGCACGAGTCTCTGGACATTGTAGAATCTCTTAAAACATAATTAAAGAAGGTGCTTTGTCCAAGATTAAAAGAAATATAAAAGACAAACTAAAAACTACTATAAATCACAATACAACAAAAAGCATGAATACCTTTAAATATTGAAAGCCTCTCCATTTTGTTTCACCACAAATGGTGTAACAATGAGGCTACCATGAGGTGGTGGTGTGAGATTTTAACACCTATTAGAGAAGGTTTCCCATGCCATGGTGTTAATGATCTAAAAACAAAAAACTTCTACCATTACATGTGTAGGTTTGCCAGTATTAATCTTATCAGTTACAATACTACCACTGCAGAAAAAACAAAGGGGGTTGGAATGCAAAATATATAATATATGATGACCCAAACTTACCTAAATATTTCATATTATCTACAGCTTTCATTCTAAAGTAATAAGGAGGCAGGTCAGAATTTGCTTTGTTGTCAATCTCTAGCGTGAGCAACTTGGGTTCATAGTATATGTCTGCTACCCGATCCAACCTTCGCTCAATTTCTCGTCTTAAAGCCTGAGACAAATATTTCATTAGTAAAAAAAAAAAAAAAAAACTAGTTGCTTCTTGATATTTCACAAAAGATGAAACAAATTTAAAACAAATATTCTACACAAGGTTGTATTACTGAATATAGTACAGTTTAGCCATCTTACTAGAATATTTTAAGCAAGCAATGTAACTAAGCAAAAAAAATTCTATACCAAAACTGATTTACCCAAGTTATTTTCACATGGATTTATATGTAAATTCATTTTGCTGTATTTTACTGAAATTGAAGTTATAATAATGACAACATTTTGTAAAGTACAACAGTGGAACCTCGATTCAACAAACCTCAATTTGGTGAATCTTCGGTTGGAACACTTTCTATGCCAGATTTACTCACCCAAATCTACGAACACAGTTCACTGACACAGGGAATATGTGGATTTGCTTAGGATGTTTTGACAGAGTTCATATATGGAAGCCACATTACAAACAAAAAATAGTTTGGGCCTTGGGAAAGGCATTGAGCATATTTAAAACCAAATTTTATGGTTCATTTTTTTTTATTTCCAGTTTATTTCCAGTCTTTTTGTTTAGTAAGATATAGGCCCTTTTTCCTTTGAAAATGAGAGTTCAAGGATTGTGCATGGGAAATATGCTAGATGTGGATAAATCTTTTACAGACAAGTTTTTAAAGTTGTTGCTCTTCATATGACTGAATTTAAAATTTTACTCAGTGAAATCAGCTCAGAGCACGGGAAATAATTAAAATAATACTGTAATTCATTGTGTCGGGGGACAGGAAGGCAGTGTGTAAAAGGTACACACTGTTCCTTTAAAGGTAAAATATTAAAGTATGAATAGTAGTTCTTGATATGGCTCCACTCATTTTTGATGATTTTTTTTAGATGGATTCAATATCAAAAGAAATAGTTGAAGCTTTGGAAAAGCTATTAAGCCTATTTAAAAGCAAATTCTATGGCTTGTTGTCATTTTGAGTTGGCAATGTTGTTGTTCACTTAAGTATTGCCCTGCTAAATTTTGAAACCCAGTTTTGAGACAGGGGACATAAGAAATAAGCTAGATCCAGTTAAATTTTTTTGCAGACGTGTACATTTGGTAGTCTATTATAGGTGGATAAGAAAATTCTTCTAAGTGAAATTGCCCATGCCCACAGGACATGGGAAATGCATCCTGGTGGCATCTCCAGTTGTATAGCATCCCTAACTGCAACAAATTATGGTTGGTCCCATAGAGTTTGTTGAATCGAGGTTGTACTTTTATACCATGAAAGATTAATTTTCTGGTGTCCACAACATATTCTTTGATGTTTACTCTCAAAATTTCCAAGAATGAAAAATAATCTAAAAAAAATTCTAAAAATCACATTAGCAACTGTATTTGTATAAATAAAATGCTGGAAATTGCAGTTTTGATTATAAATATTGAACTGTACATTTTAATTAACATTTTCTTACTTGTGTTCATTGCAAAAACAATACATTTTACTGAAGACTGACCTTCTTAGCTTCAGAGCCAGGTACATGAGGATCTCTCCTTGAGCGATCTTTCATTCTACCAACTTGCCTTTTAAAACAGGTCACAAAGAGTATTATGGCAAAGAGAATAACCCCAATAAACATCAGGGTCATAGCACCTGCTGTGGGCATTTTTGTCAAGTGGACGGTAATAGTTTCTAAACAAGAAGATCAGCTTGCCCAGAGTTCAAATGTCACATTCAGTCTTCCCTGTAAAGAAATTTTGTAGTCTATAAAAATACTGTTATTAATATGGAATTCAAACAGCTACCAACCTGCCTGCACAATATGTTCTTCCTTTCAGTAGCTTCATAAATAAAAAATAAATATGTTTGGCATTTTAAAAAATTAATAGTTGCAATGTTTTTATCAAGCAGAGGCAATGTTAGTCTTTTTTTTCTCTCTCTTAGGAATAAACAACCCCTGATAGAGCAACTGACAGAAAAACCAAGAGCAAATATGTGTTCATTGTATGTAGATGCCCTCACCTATCTATAAGCAGTATTTGCTTGATCCTCATTTCCCACCTTCAAGCAATGGTGAGGCCTTTAGCAGGTTATATTAATGTACGACAAGCGAGGGATGACTGTCTCAGTTGTGTTACTAAAACTCACTTATAAAAACAATTAAATTAGACTTTTTGGATGAACTGTACTTAATAACATTTGTGCTCATAAAATTACTCTAAATACAGTATACAGTACTTACTGTATATGGAAGATTATTTCTTTTGTTTGACAAATATGCTTCAAATTTTTAGGAAAGAAAAATAAGCTGTATAAAGCCAAAAGACTGTCAATTAGTTCATCTCTATACACTACACTAACACAGCAAGTGAACTATATGCAGATGTTACACTGGAAATTACAGTATTTACACATTCGTGTTGTTAAACTTAACTATGCTGGCAAGAGAACAGTTGTCCTCGGCCAGTGGCTGCACCAGTAATATTGTGGTGTTATATGGCTTGTCACTGTTGCTGAATGCCTTGCAAATCTTCATGGCACAACACACTGCCATGTCCATATTGCACATCACTATGGCTAAGTACAGTACTGTACCTCAAACACTGCCGTGCCTACACCACTGTACTGCTTGTGTTGTACATCATTGTTGCTAGGTTCCACTTTGGCTCCATCTTCCAGCTCAATATTGTAAGGTACATGATCATGTTCTTGATGAATGAACGACTAATGTTGACGTTTAAATTAGTACAATCTTCCGGTCTGCAACTACTTAAGCAAAATACCGCATATTACATAGAGAAAATAAGGTCAAGCCTGAAAAGTGAGACTTACGGCTACAGTTCACAGTATGTGTGTAGAATAAAGTCACGGGAACAAATACGGCCTCTACTTCTTCTTGGTGGTGGTAGTACTTGCAGTTTTCATGAAGGATTTACCCTCTTGATGACTGCGCGAGTAGTCCCCATGGTGCAGTGGTAAAGCACTCGTAAGGCGCTTCAAGAGTGCTTTCGCCTGGGTTCGTATCCTTGTATTATACCTGATCAACCAGGCTGTGATTCATTCGTCAGGCTGCGAGCACTGGTTGATCAGTCCGGCAACCAGGAGCGCTTCGACGACCGGGCCTGGGCGCGGGGACGTATGAAAGCACCTCAAGGTAAGGTAACCTCAAGGTGGTCGGGAAGGATTGACTGGGCGCCAGTCCTTAACTGTAGCCTCAGTTCACCCAGCAGTGAATAGATGCCTGGTTGTTAAACGATTTGGTGGTTCGTATTCCAGGGGAAAAAATTAGGATTAAGGACCTGCCCGAAACGCTATGCGTGCTGGTGGGTGTACAAGAATGCCCGAAACGCTTTGCGTAATAGTGGCTTTAGGCATTGTATGTACTAGCTCTACCTATAAGTCAAACAATCCTTGTAAATATTTATTGTATGTATGTACCTTACCTAAATAAAATTGTATTGTATTGTATTGTAAGAATGTAACAACTCTTGTATATATAAATAATGTCGGTAGACGCGTCAATGTTCAGTGAGAAAGTTTGAAGAGTGATGTCCTGTGCTGGAGAGAGAGGAGCAGGGACTAAAGAGAGGTGTGTGTTAGATCAGTGTGCTGGTTGATCAGTCCAGCAACCAGGAGGCCTGGTCGACGACCGGGCCGCGGGGACACTAAGCCCCGGAAGCACCTCAAGGTAACCTCAAGGTAGAGGAATACTTGCCAGACTGTGGGGCGGGGCGTCGTGTTTATGGCGTCAGCTGATCCTTGGTGCTGCAGGCAGCTGTTGCCTGTGTCTGGCCGCTGGTGGCGCCAGGTGTGAATGTCACACGGGGCAAATGTGGCCCAATTTCTTGGTCGACTGGAGATATTTAGTCAGTGCATTGACTGTTTGATACTTTTGCATGTAACGAGAGATCACCTAATATATGCGTGATGGTAAAATGTATTTTAAGGTCAATAACTTGTATTTATTTGCCCGAAACGCTATGCGTACTAGTGGCTTTAGGTATTGTATGTACTACCTCTATCTTTAAATCAAACCGAATGTTTGTACTGTAGCTCTGCAACTATGTATGTACTTTTCCTAAATAAATTATTATTATTATTATTTTATTTTATTTACTTATTTATATATATACAAGAAGGTACATTGGGTTTATGAGAGTACATAGCATTGATGATTTTACATTCTTGTATAGTCACTATTTGTTCAACCTGTCCTACAAAGAACGTCGCTTTTCGGTCATATGCGTCACACAAGGCTAAAAATTGTCGTACTAGAAAATGGAAGCGGCTGGTGAAAGTGACGTACTTTCCCGTTTTCTGTTTTGGGTCCTCTGGTAGGTTAGGAGAGGACACTTTACATTGACCGTTTTCTTGACGTTGGGAACCTTAGGGTTAGGGCTGGTTTGTTTAAAGTTTATTCTGGCACTATGATACGGAGAACAGTGAAAGAGGTAATGTTCAATTGTTTCTGGCACATGACAGTGGATGCAAAGTTCGCTGATGTTTATTCTGTAATTAGAGCTGTGTGCTGCCAGTTTGGTGTGTCCCAGCCTTATAATCTACCCGAAACACTATGCGTGTTAGTGGCTTTGCAAGAATGTAAAAACACCAATGTTATGTGCTCTCGCAAACCTAATGTATCTTCTTGTAAATAAATAAATAAAATCTGATCATCGTTATATCAATTTCTCTGGTTTTATACTTTTTATTTTTTGTATTTATATATACAAGAGTTCTTACATTCTTATAAAGCCACTAACACGCTACGTAGCGTTTCGGGCAGGTCCCTAATCCTAATATTTTCCCTGGAATACGACCCGCCAAATCATTTAACAACCAGGTACTCATTCACTGCTGGGTGAACAGAGGCTACAGTTAAGGATTGGTGCCCAGTCAAGCCTCCCCGGCCTGGACACGAACCCAGGCCAAAGCGCTTGCGAAGCACTGGGCGAGTGCTTTACCGCTGCACTACCAGGGATGTTTCCAGGTTTCCCATTTCATTTTTATGGACCCATAGTATAGAGATGTGGATGACGTTTTCCATTTCGTTACACAATCTTGGGTGATGGTAACTTTAAAGGCTCTTTTACGTGACAACATGAGAAATTGGATGACGGATAAGGTGTGTCGTGCATCGTTTTAGCCAGTTGGTCTACAGGTTCATTATAGAGTATACCACAATGAGCTGGAACCCATTGGAAAGAGATGTCGTAACCTTTCAATTGATGTTCATCATGCAGTTGAAGGCATGGGGTGGACAAACTCTTAGCACGTTGTGTAGGAGTACGTAATTGTTTGACTTACCCTCTTGGAGTTACTACAGATCATATATATCCCAACTGGTAATGTTGGGAATATTTGTAGACCTTGGGTATAAGGCGTACAATTCAGCTGTGATGATAGATAATTGGTTTGGTAACCGCGATCCCTGCTTGAGAAGGTAGTGCGGGATACATACGGCGCTAGTGAACGTATGCGTCGTATAGGTGGATGGGAGATGCATCTGCGTAAATCGCTGTGGTATTGGGGTAACAATTTTTCACCATTGAAGCAAAGACTGAGGCTATGGCCGAGTTTCGTGCAGGCTGTGGAATGGTGTATTCCAGTTGTATTGATATTTTAGGATTTGTATAAAGCATCTGAATTCATTATAATTTAAAGTAATGCTAAAGTCTATGGACTCGAGGCAACACATTTCATTCCACAGACTTTGTGAAGGAGGGGCGGGCATTGGGGCAGTGCCCTTCATCAGGGTGGCTCTGCATGGGTCAAGCCCGATTCTCCCTATGACACTCTCGATAAAATCACAATTAATCCTGCAAAGTTCAATGAGGCTAGCCCTAAGCAGCTGGCCTCAAACCTCGAACAGACATTCTCTTATAGATATTCGATATAGATAGAAAATGGCAGATCACAAATACACACGCTAGCTGCAATTATAGTAAGATTTTTGTTGTTTTTGTGCAATCAAAACACGGAATCAAGGTACAGTACTGACGGTGATAGCTAATTATAATCTAATAACTGTTTAAATTGTATACAGATCGAGTCCCATACCCCCCATTGTGGTTCCCGTAACCACATTATGGATATCTCCGGTTCAAGTACGTTTATCGAGACAATAAAATACATCTCAAAGAGATATAGTACTTTGGCTATTTCTACCCTCTTATCTCTGGTTAAGAACCCCTGCAGCCTAGCAGATTGTCTGCTCTAGTTTCCACTTTTATATTTATTATTTACATAGAAGAGCTAAGTAAAAGACGACTTCTGATTCCGTTAGCCAGCTTAGGGCTCTTCCTTCCGCATGTCCTTCCCACAGCTCATCTTAAGCCTTATTCCTGTAGTTTCCCCTGCAACACGGTCCTCTGATATGCAACTACAACAAAAATACTTAAGCAAGAATTTGCCTTTGCAAATTCAGTTTCTATTATGTCTAAATCAATTTTTAGCACAAAATTAGCGTGTTCTTCTAAATAAGTTGTTATTAGACGTTTGATAATAATTCATTGTGTCCGGGGACAGGCAGCCAGAGTGTATTCATACACGTTAGGCTTATATCGAGCTCCTCCCCAGGGGTGAATTACTGACCCCGCCCAGGATGCAACCCCACAACAAGCTGACTAACTCCTGGGTACCTACTTACTGCTAGGTGAACAGGTGCACTAGGTGACAGGAAATGTGCCCAACCATTTCTGTACCGCCCAGAATTCGAACCCGGAATTCTCGATTGTGAGTCGAGAAGGAACCCAACTGTACTACCGGGTTTGAGTATAATAATTTTTGTGCAGTAACAAAAGAGGTTGCAAGCATATATTAGTGAATATATTGTTTATCCATGAAGGTAAAGCAGTATACACCATATTGACTAACACTATAGTAGGCTATAATATATATCGTAAAGAATATAAATGAACATAAATTTTACTTCCGTGAATTTGCCTGGTCATATTTTACAATGTATTGATGTATTTTGGTGAGGCCGCGCCCAGCCATGGTTATATATTGCATGTTTTACCGATAATTTCTTGTCCGGAATACTGTTCCGTTTCTGCTCCCGTTAGTCTTGCATCAGGACCACACGTCTGCTGTTTTGCCACCAAGTGCTAATAAACCTTATTGAATATGTGTAAGAACAAATATAATTGAACTCATGACTGTTTAATCGTTATAAACTTTCATTTGGCTACAACCTCATGGGTCGATAATTGAATTTCAGGGCGAGACACAGGCATTACTCTGTTTGCTGTGTTCACAGTGATGGGCATATTACTGCATGGTGATGCATACGAGGTTTGCTGTGACGGTGTTCACAGTATATGTGTACAACACTTCTCGGTGGCTACGTCGATGTATATAGAACATGACATGTACGCTGACTCTCCTCAGCGTGTGGGCACGTCGGTGCTGCTCTACATTTGTACCAATATATACAAATAAATAATGGATTAAACTCTAATGATATTCCTCGACAACCAAAAATATTCCTGTAGTTGGAGCATGAAGTCCCCGTCTTATCCACCCCCTTTCTCGCACTTTCTTACAGTCAATATTGACTTATTAAATACGTGCATATGTGACATACTAAACATACTAGTTTACCATGAAAAGCTTCATAGAAAACACCGACCTTACCTAACCTTCTTAGTATGTTAAGATAAGCATCTTATTGCTTCGTAATTACAATTATTACTTAACCTATATCTATAATAGGTTAAGTAATAATTGTAATTACGAAGCAATAAGATGCTTATCTTAACATACTAAGAAATTTTTTTTCTTATAGCCGTTTTGTACACGCCTTGTATAATTTTTATGGCTTGATTCAGATTGTCTGTTCAGCATCGAGTTCAGTCACATAGTTGGGCCTCGGAGTCATGTACATGAATTGACACGTCGTCAGTCGTAGTGTTCTCATTTTTCGGTATACTTAACCAAAACGTAAAATTTCTTCATAAACTTTTCTGTTATCCTAAATTCTCTTAAATGGCTCCTTGTAGTTTCTTGCAAAATTTGTGTAAAATATAAATATAGCCATTATCATTTATCTATTATTAGGGCTTATCTATTATTGTTGCAAATATTCGTAATTGGTTTTAGTAACATTATTTAATATTTTAATGAGCTTGGTGTTAATTAAATATATATACTATATTTTCATAGTTTAGAGACATTATCAACATATTCTTAAATAACATCTTTTACACTGGTTACATAATTTATCAAACAACGCCATTAATAATCGGTCGTTTGCTGACTCGTCGGTGCCGACCAATATGGGTGTGGTCTTAACATCCGGCTGGAATGGTCGTACCAACCCGCTGGTGTGGTCTTACTAACACGATGGTGGGGTCGTACCAATAAGGTGGTGTGGTCTTACTAACATGATGGTGGGGTCGTACCAATAAGGTGGTGTGGTCGTACTAACATGATGGTGGGGTCGCACCAATAAGGTGGTGTGGTCTTACTAACATGATGGTGGGGTCGTACCAATAAGGTGGTGTGGTCGTACTAACATGATGGTGGGGTCGTACTAATAAGGTGGTGTGGTCTTACTAACATGATGGTGGGGTCGCACCAATAAGGTGGTGTGGTCTTACTAACATGATGGTGGGGTCGCACAATAAGGTGGTGTGGTCTTACTAACATGATGGTGGGGTCGTACCAATAAGGTGGTGTGGTCTTACTAACACGATGGTGGGGTCGTACTAATAAGGTGGTGTGGTCTTACTAACATGATGGTGGGGTCGTACTAATAAGGTGGTGTGGTCTTACTAACACGATGGTGGGGTCGTACCAATAAGGTGGTGTGGTCGTACTAACATGATGGTGGGGTCGTACCAATAAGGTGGTGTGGTCTTACTAA